GAAAAAAAAGATGTCGATTTTGAGCTGATCAAAATTGAAGGAAAAGTAGGAGGCCGATTGGAAGATACATGCTTGGTGAAGGGAGTTGTTATCGATAAGACAATGAGCCATCCTCAGATGCCAAAGGTTGTTGTATATATATCATTTTCAGCTATTCGCTGATATTGATGATAAAATTTTTATTTTGTTATGGCAGCTGTTAGCATTTTGATTTTAAAAGTAATAATCGAGGAATGTAGTTATTTTCATTTCAGGAATTAACTGATGTAAAAATTGCAATACTTACTTGTCCATTTGAACCACCGAAGCCAAAAACAAAGCATAAGTTGGACATTTCTTCAACTGCAGATTTCCAAAGTTTACGAGAATATGAGCGAATAACTTTCGAAAAAATGATCGGACAGGTGATTTTTTCTTTTTTGTTTTTTCTTTATCTTTAGAACGAGCTTATTTTCTGCCAAGGCAGCAAATAAACTTATTTTCTACAGTTTCAGTTAATTTAACATTATCTGAGGTTTCCAAATTTTTATTTGTGAACTACTACAATAATTTTTGTTTCAATTTCAGATTAAAGATAGCGGTGCTACTTTAGCAATTTGTCAGTGGGGCTTCGATGATGAAGCCAATCATCTTCTACTTGCTCATAATCTGCCAGCAGTTCGATGGGTTGGTGGACCCGAAATTGAATTAATTGCTATTGCAACTGACGGTCGTATTGTTCCACGTTTTGCTGAACTTAAATCCGAAAAACTGGGAAAAGCTGGAAGAGTTCGAGAGATGTCATTCGGAACTGCTAAGGCAAATTTCGTTTCATGTTATATTGCTATTTAAATGAATGGGAGAAGTGTTTGTACTGAAATTATGATTAGAAGTATAGTTACTGTGCACACATTGCCAGTAGTGCAAAATCGTATGCTGGGCATAGCTAAGTATTCTCGTTCCCTTATAACTCTTCATTGATGTCAACCATTTAATCATCTTTTCTGATCTGTTTATTGATTAAATAAAAAACTGAATGAAAAGTTAAAATTAAAAAAACTAGCAATAAAAAATGTCTTTACTTTCGCTGTCTCCTTAACTGAAAGTATTCGCGTTGATGACAATCATTAAAGAATAGTAGCTAGAGGCAATATTTTTTTATAGGATCGTATGCTTTGTATCGAAGAATGTCCTAATAATCGCGCTGTTACGGTGTTTATTCGAGGTGGTAACAAAATGATGATTGAGGAATCAAAGCGTTGTTTGCATGATGCTCTTTGTGTTGTTCGCAATTTGATCAAAGATAATCGAATTGTCTATGGTGGTGGAGCAGCAGAAATTTCTTGCTCTATTGCAGTTGCAGAGGAAGCAGATAAAGTAATCTTCTATAGTTAAAATCATTTTTCTCTTTTTTCTTTCTTCAGTTTTCTAGATTTTTAATCTTACCAGATTATTTGCAAAATCGATTTAATGTTTAGATTGAAGGTATTGAGCAATACGCTTTTCGCGCTTTTGCGGATGCTCTGGAAAGTATTCCTATGGCATTGGCTGAAAATTCAGGTCTTTCCTCAATCGATACGGTAACCGATCTCAAGGCAAAGCAGATTCAACAATCTAATTCAAGATTGGGCGTTGATTGTCGAGCTGTTGGCACAAATGGTAAGTTGTTGGTCGGAGCAGTTTTGAAGTCGGCTATTTTTTCAAAATGATTTAAGTGATGAAATCGAAGACTCCATTGTGAAATTAGTATTGATGTTTGGCTAATTTAAAAAATGCTAGCTAATATATGAGCCATTGTTCTTGATAGTATCAAACACATAAGTTAATGAATAGATTCAAGACGAAATTTTATTCAGTAGCTCTATTTTATTAAACAGGATGTATTTTATTAAAAAATGGGAGACTGTAACGTGGTCTTGTACTATAAGTATTGACATTTAGAGAAAGTGCATCCTATAGAAAAGTTTCCCACTTATTTGTGGAAATAATTTGAAGAAGATTTTTATGTTATGCAAACATAGGAATATTTATATTCGTCTTTCAGATATGGAAAGACAAAAAGTAATGGAAACATTGTTATCGAAAAAAGCACAAATATCTCTTGCAACACAGGTTTGTTTATTTAGGTTTCACTTATTTTTTTCATTTCTCTATTAACGGTTCCAAATTTTTAGGGAAAAACCGGCTTTTTGGAATTCACTTCTTTTGGATTATTATTTGCGCTGCTTTGATTGTTGATGTTGGTTATGGATAATCAAATTTGATGCATGAAAAGTTTTATAGGTAGTGCGTATGATCTTGAAAATCGATGATGTCCGAGTTCCAGAATCCGAAGGACAGAGATGTGCAGTGTGACGATTTATTACTGCTTAAATTTTAAATGCTTAAGATTTGTTGCTCGCTATTTGTTGCTAAAATTTTGTTGATAATATGGAAATAAATTTTTTAATCATGTTTTTCTTAAAATTTTAAAATCATGCCGCTTATTCGGCTTTTAGTACTGCTAATTATTGTTGAAATTATCTATTCATTTATTGCTGATGTATTTAATTTTGCGTAACTGAACGATTGGAAAAATGATAAAAGTAGAAATTAATTTCCCTAGAACTTTTTTGTGTAATCAAAAAAGGAAATATATGATGTAGTTGAATATCATGGCAGTTGACAGCAATTTACTGAATAGTCAAAGGTGGTGAATATTGAACGAAATAACCATGGCCTTTTTACATACATATTACTTTTTTTATCAAATAGTCAAGAAAGTTGGGCTCATTTTCAAATTTATAATTAAGTTATCACTTTGCCGACGGTAGTTGGTTGTTTTCTGTTTTCTGGAATTTTTTGCATCCTTTTAAATTATAACATGTTTCTAATAGTGGAAATAATTTTTTGGGAAATGACATAGCGATTAGGACAGCCGTCAGTTAAAAGATGAATTGCGAAGACTTCAAATTTCTTTGCTGCAGATTTTTTAGGGTATGGTACTTGTACGGTTACGGTTAAGACTTCGAAAATAATCTATGGTAATTTCGCAGAAGTTTCTGTTTATGAGAAGGTACGGTGTTAGAATAGTACTGCAGAGTATATTAATAGATTGGATGATTTCTCGCAAAGTTTTCAACCCAAGCTCAAATAATCAAAGGGTAGTGGACAGATTAATAACGATTGTAAGAATTGCGTTGGTAGTGCAGACTGAATATGTCGGGTTGTCAGGTCATGGGGATGTCGTGGACTTCTTGTATTTCCTTCGTATCGTATTCTTTCACAGACTGAAAAAGTAATAGGACTGGGGAGGAATATTTGATTATTTTCTTAGTTGCTTTCGAAAATTTAATGATAGTTTTTGAATGAAGAATAGATACGGTTTTGTTGGTGTAGTGACATGGCATATTCAGATTTGTTTCCATCGACATTGAGTGAGATGAAGCGAAAACCACTGTTGTATAAATGAAATGATGCGTTAAAATGTTTGAAAAGAGCTTGGTATAAAACCACTTTAGAGAATGGATTTCATTTTCTAGTTGAGGGAAGAAAGAAAGGAAAATTGGGAGGAGGATGATATACGCTACTCTTTACAATTTTATTGAGTTCAATAAGCTGAAGTTAAATTTTTTACTGACATTTACTAGCTAGTTTTGTAAAAGGCTGAAATATATCCTCTTGTTCTTTTTTTAATTTAATTCCTTTTTTTGGTGCTATAAATGTAAATTAAGACAACTAATTTTCAGACCAGAAATTTTATGATTGATTCATCTAGAAAAGCCTTGTTGGGATTAATTCCATTCCATCATCAATAGTTTTCTTGTTATAATATTTATTTGATTATGTCGTACCTAAAATAAGAAAGTTTTGCTTTAGCATACAGTTTTGCTTGCCCAAATCAAAAATATGATTTTTTCCTTTGTTGCTTTTTGAACTGTTTATGATTACACTATTGAAGTCTCATCAATATTGTTATGGAAGGGAAAGAAGTACCATGAATTCCAATTCCAGCATAAATCAGCGATACAAGAGTTGCGTAATTAACTATTGTTACAGAAAAAAGATATATCATGGATTTCAATTCAAGCATATAACGGTAGTAACGAGAGTTGCATAATATCCAAATATTATTACGGAAGAAAAAAATGCTGTGGATTTCAATTCGAACATACAATAGCATTTTAAGAGTTGCATAATATCCAAGCCCCGAGACGACATACTTTGGGGGAAATTTTAAGCTAATCGAGAAATTGGTAAGTTGTATTATTCAAATGGTTGAAAATATTGCTACGTTTGATATGACATAATTCTAATGGCAAGTACTGTTTTCTTTCTTTAAGATGTGAATGTTCAACTCGTGTTATCTGCTGAATAGTACTCCCTATGGAATAAGTGAATAAGAATAATTGTCCCCACAGTAAAAAATACTGCTTTATGTGAAGATTTTACGTTATTTACGGAGAATCTCATGAGTAATTAAGTTCTGTCCTTTGATTTTTCTTTCTCCTACTGCTTGATTTTTGAATTTACGATGAATTAGCATTTTCATTGTCACATTGTTACTGCTGTAAGCTGTTTTTATTTCTGAATTTTCAGTTATTTATTGCCAAATTATCAGTTCGAAGAAAACTCATCATTTTAGTCGATTATATATCAGTAGCTCGTCATTTTGTCCTTTTCTTTCACTTAATTCCACTTTTTCAATCGAAAAGGCAATCAGTAATATTTCAAAGCGAATAAGTGCTTTAGATAACGTAGTATTTTTTATAAATTATTGTTGAGGATGGAATAGACTTTTTTGCACATTATATGTTTCAGATTGCTATTCTTAACACTAATCTCGAAGGTGATAAATGAATTGTAGTAAATTTAACAACTTAAAAAATTTCATTCAAGAGATGCTGCATGAAGTGTCCCGATATTGTTTTTTTTATATTCGAGACAGTAAATCAAAAAATTTATTGTTTTCCTCTTGAAGATTTGAAAGTTGGGTTGATTAGTGTTGTTTGTGAATGTAAATTCTGTTTTAGCTCATGAAGATGGAAAGCATAGCGCAGCGGGAAGATTCATCGGTAGATGTGGTTACCTTGGAAACTCCGAATTTTACATCATTGATTGGTACTAATTCAGCTACATTACCACGTAAGTTCTCCTTTCTCGAAATATAAACGTGTGATTGAATTAGCGTGTATTTTTTGTCGAAAGAATTGACGTATATGTTTTCTCTTCCGCAACATCAATTTCTTCGTTGTTGTGATCGCAGTGTTCATTCTTTACTAGCAAAAATAGTTATTTCACGCTTTTATTACTGATAAATTATCTTTACTGCTAATATTATATATTGATGATGTCTTTTTTATAAAAGTGGATTTATCGATTAATTCAAAATTAGTTTTTTCTAAATTATTTTTGATAAAATAAAGTTTGCATACTTGCAGACTTAAACATAACATCTTTGCTGCTCAGTTCAAATTATTAAACATTGCCAAAGTCCAATTATGGAGTTTTACAGTTTGTAATCAACTTTCATGAACTTATTTGTTTCTGGCCTGAAGTATTATTTTCATGGTGTTCTCATAAGAACGTTTTTGAAAGTGCTTTATATGAAGTGCTTTATTATTTTATTGTAGCGGATTTTCCAACAACAGCTGAACTGATGCAGAAATGTCTCACAGTCAATCCATTCGAATTGAAATTTCGTGAAGCGAATCGACGTATCAGTCAGTGCAGTGAAGAACTTCTTGAACAGGTTATCATTTTTACGATTTTCACCACCAATACATTATAAGGTACTTCAGCTCAAGATGGTAAAGTACCATGAAGTGACGAAGCGTCACAAAATTTTGCGTCAGATTACTGTGCAAAAGAAAAAGTTTAGTTCGATGTAAAACTATCATTCTAGCTAAACACTTTTTTTTTGTTCGCAGAGTGGACTTGTTCCGGTGACGCTTTCATTACCAACGACTGGTGGCATAACCTTGCTGAAATTGCCATCATCTTTAGCCCATTCTCCTGGCATCTTCTCAAATATCAACGTTCTTTCAGCGGATTTCGAAGGTGATGGGTTAAAAAGTGCCGACTTATCGCGTCTAGTGCAACAGGTAAAATTACTTTTGGAATCAGTGACGAGTAAGCGAATAATTCACATAAAAAATATCTTAATTTTCAGATGAAAGATAATGGCGGTTTATCGACGCAGAATTCACGAACTGGTGAAGACACTGGACAAGCACCCCGGACCGCCGATGTACTTAATGCTGTTCTTGATATGCATTCTGATAGGTTGGGAACGCTTAGTTTTCTTGGCACAACTGGCACTGCCACACCGCCTTTGGTATGTTTCACACCATTCAGTGCGTGAATAACTGAGGTTGTAGATGATTGTTTGCTGCACAACTTATTTTACATTTCTTAAGCACCAAATGAGAGACTTGCATTTCGAATTGCATCCTTTCACTGTGAATCCTTTCACTTTCAAAAAACAAGTGAAAAACTTGAAAAAAACCTGGATTATGCGTCTCATCGAAATATGTATATGTATACACATATCTCGATGTGTTAGAGTCGGCCTCTGAAGGCTATAATTTGTGTTTTCGTGATTTCTTCGAAAGATATGTGTATGTGGTGTGTGTACACATACACATATTGTGTGAGGTATTTTTTCGCTTCAGATTTGTTTTGAAATAATGCTAACTTTGAAACAGTTTCTTTCAATAATTGATCGAATGCATTATAATGTATCAATTTCTGCTTTTCAGAAAGGACCACTGGGATCAATCCTACCGACATCCTCATCTGTAGCTCTCTGTTCTGATTCGTCCGTAGTAGCGCCATCAACATCGTGTACTGTAAATGTTGGTGGCCCTGAATGTACATCAACTTTGCTATCATGTTCGCCGTGCTCTTCAGAATCAGCTTCTGCTTCTTTAACACCGCTAATTTCTGCTATAAATAGCCCCGTTGTCAACGCATCAGGGAACATTTCAAGACCCGGAAGTTCTGCATCAGCCCAAATGCCGTATGTAAATGTGATTTGACTGGTCCATGTTTTACTTTCTCGTGACTTGAGTTGCATTATTACTATTTATCCCTTCGTGTTGTTTGTCAGTAACTAAGTTTTTATTTTTCAGTAAAAAGAGATTATCAATACGGGCAGCAGCAGCGGTAGCTGCACCAACAAGTGTTGCGCCAGTGGTGTCACCCTTTCTAGGTGCTGTTGGATCAGTAAGTTTTTCAACTTCACATGCAGTGAAAATTACGATTTCAGAAAGATCTGTAGCATGGGCTAGAAAAACTGGTGAAATTTTTGCAGAGATCAACTTAATAACAGATTGCTTAGCTATAAACATGACATGAATTTTCTAAATTTCAGTATATATCACAAATTAGGTGAAGTATTGCATAAGAGATCCAAATAATGTTTCATTTCTTTTAAAGTTATTATTGTCAAATGTGAATTTTTTTTTCGAAACCGACTCTGAAATTAATTTCAAATTAAATTGAGTTTTTACAGCTTTTGCCGGCAACAAACGTTGAAGAACGGAGTGATGTGTCGCAAATTTCAAATGCTCAGTTATCACCAACTGATCATTGGGACCCTCGTGATGTGAAACCGATCATTGTTAGAAAAAATCCACCGTCGTCATTACAAACAGTAATTTTTTGCAAAACATTTTTTTTTTTGGAAAGCAAAGAAAAGATTGACTTCTTTCTTCTTTTCATTTATTATTTTGATAATTACTGGACAAGTAATTAATACTGCTATTTTCTGTCTCCCATCCGTAAATAAGATATTCTGTTCATGTTCACTGATTTACAGAATCCGCAATATTTTGATCACGAGGAAGTTATTTATCAGCAGGACGAACAGCGTAAGCATGCGGAAACACTGGCATCAGTACCAAGAAGGTTTGTTTTCTGTTAACCGGTATTGTTCGAAGTAGTTTGTCGTCCAGTTTCTCCGACCATTTTTGTTCAACATACTTGTATTCCAAATCGAAGTTAATGAAATTGGTTTTTATTTTTACTGTTTTGGAATGAGATGAGTTTATTTTTCAAATTTTTTTTGAATTTGAATAATTCGTTCTTAACATCTTATTAGATGAATAAATATTTGTAATTTAGGCTTTTATTATAGCAAAATTACAGCAGAGAAGGCGGTGTATCTCGTTCGGCAGCTACTTCAACATCATCACATCGCGGTGGGCGAGGACGGGGTCGTAGTTCTCTAACTGCCGATTTACCACCCGATGAGCGTCGTGTTACAATTCTGGAAAGGAATAAAGCAGCTGCTGTGCGATATCGAAAACGAAAAAAGGAAGAACATGATGAGATGATTACACGTGTTCATTTATTAGAACAAGAAAAAGTGGCGCTCTCCGTAAGTCGATATAATTGTTAAAAAATTCTTAAGTTGTTTGATTGTATCTTTCTTTGAGATATGATGCCGAAAAGTACGCTTGATAATAAACAGAATCGACGAAAATTAATAATTTAAAAATTTCTTATATTTTTGCATGGTACTCTTCATGGTTTCCATCACTGTAGAATGAATTTCGAAAGGGAAGGCAAACTTACGATTTAAAAAATGAAGCAAGAAAATGAATAGTAATTAGTTCATAATTCTTTAATCCGTGTTTTGATCAAACATAGCTAGTAAACTTCTTGCAGACTCAGAATCAAGTGCTGCGTCGCGAACTGGAAAGAGTTACAGCCTTGCTAAAAACGCGTGAAGCATGCTGTGTTTGCCACTTGAGTGGTGTGGGGGAATGTTTGCGGAATGAATCACCGCTGGAAGTAGACGTCCTTTCTCCTCAAACTCAATCGCATCATGATCTCTCCAATTATATATCACAGCAATTGGTTTCATCAGTCAGTCCTAACAAGAAGCCATCAAAATGATTTCATAAAATTTTTGATGGACTGTTTCCAAAAATATACTCAGATCTGGCAACATATGTTTTTAGCTTTTATCCGTGAGCTTTGCTTTTCACCTTTGATTAACTTATCCTAAAGCCTTTTCATCCGGTCTTTTAATGTGCCGATATTTCTTTTTCAGATTGCTAAATGACTTCGCTCAGCAAAAATGCATATCAGGTATTCTGGACGGAATATAATATATGAAAGATAAGTATCGTGCAATGCAGTTGACTTTTCTACTTTCAATTTATCAATGGGGAAAATTTTAATCTGGCAGTTTGAGTTTTTGGGACTGATACCGCTTTTTTTTAACTAACTAAGCTGCTAAAATATGTAAGATTCGAAATTATGACACGTAAGATGTATGAGAGTGTAGGTTCGTTATTCCAATTTTTCGGATGGAAAGTTCCAGGACTGAGATTTTACCGGTTTATATTTGGTACCTTTTAGAGACTGCTTCATGCAGTTCTTGTTTGCACTTCATCTTTTCCACATACATTTATATGGCATATGTTGGTTACTAACATATTGAGTGTTTTTATTTATTTTGTAGTTGTTTGTTTATATTTTTCTTAAACACATTGTAAAAAATAAAAAAGGTTGGATTTTAAAAAAGTTTTTGAACCGATGGATGAAAAATGATTAGGTACCAATGACTTTTTTTACGTATCATTTATCACATCCATTGTCGCAGAATTTTTGAAATACAAATCCTTGACTTATTGGGCAGCAGAAAAATACATGTCTGATTGGCGAAGTTTTGTTATTAACACTTGTCTTGATCAGAACGCATATTTGTTTTCAAAAGATAGCGAAAAAGCGCAGGTAACTGACTATTTCTGAAATATAAATTTTTAATGAGAATTTTTGTTAAACAAGAAAAAGTGTTTAAGAAAATTCAGTGTGGAAAATCTGAGGTTTTTGCAAGGGAATCATTTGGAAAGCTTGTATGCTTAGCACAAATTAAGCAAGAAATAAAAATTATTGAGAATTGGTACATAGTCGTTTTTCTAGATCTGAGTTTTTGAATTCTTCATTTTTGCTACTAAATCATGACGTGAGTTATTTGTAACCAGTGAAACGTTTAATGCGGCATTTATGTATTTTTCCAGGTTTTTATTTTGTGTGTCATATTTTTGCTTTCACTTTTTTACTAATACTTTATTCTTTGTATACATTAATGTTGTTGTACTAATTGTTTTACTGACGGGTCCTGAATTATTTTGAATTAAATAATGGATCCTTTTTTCCTGGTTAGTGAGTGGCCAGGGTTTTTAGTTTTATATTTTAATTCATAAGATTACCCCTACAGATGCTCGAAATTCGATTTTAAAATTTCCTTTTTTAACTGTTGCGCTATATTTTGTATTTCTTGATAATAGATTTCATCGGATTATCTCTTTCATTTTTATGTAACTGTTGTTTGTTATTTCAAGTCTTGTTGTTTATATGGAAAATTTTTCTCAGCTTGGATGCATTCAGTTTTAAACCGGTGAGCATCTTTTGCAGAATTTGTAATATTTGATCCAAAGTCGGCAAATATTTTTGATGATGGAATAGGCGAGCAAATAGAGTATTCAAGTAGTTGTCAATTTTTTATATTAATGTATATAACGGTGTTGATCTCTCAGAAAATCTTATTAGTAACGATCGCTGAGAATCCGTTTTTGACTGTTAAATTTCTCGCCATTTCCGAAAATATATGTTTTTGCTTGAATTAATAATTTTTTTTGCAAAGTTGTCTGCGTCTGCTTGTTCAATAATAAAATATTAGCTTATGCTATTTACTCATTTTCAACCTTAAAACCTGAGAATTTCAGTTATTCTTATAGCGGCATACATCACGGAAATATTGGAAGTATTTGAGATACACTATTTATGAGGGTATTTCCTGTTATCGTTATGTGAAGAATCCGGCATCACTTAAGAATGAATTTAAGTAATAAGTCTTCCAAATTGAATTTTGAATGTAATTACAAAAAAGAGGACTAATTAAATTGGATAATTCTGCAGTTGAATAGCGAAAGGAAAATGGATTATTGACAGATAAATAAGAAGAAATTCAAGGAAGCAAAAGGGTGACGAATATCGTTAATTATTTATATTCTGAACATGTCTTTATTAATAAATATACGTAATTCTTGTGGTACATCTGCCTCTTTCCTACTTATAATGGTGAGCAACATTTTCAATATTGTTTAGTTCTTTCTTGATATTTTTAATTATGATGCGAGTTATAATTAGCAAAGTTTCCAGAGGGGTTGATCTTTCATTTCAATTATAATATATTTCTTTAATTGTACACCAGAAATAATTTAGCGTTATCATAATATATAAATGTAGCAAAGTGAACTGTATTTTACACGATCAACAAGTACGATATGCTATATCCTGAAATATTTAGTATTCGCTGAAAATGAATATAATTCGGAATTGTGTCAGAAATTTATGACATGATAAGTCGTTTAGCTAACACAGATGTTATTTCTATGCTTTTGATAGAAATTATGTTAATTATTTCACTAACAATCATTTTTTTTTAATTATGGAATTCATCTAGGAATAAATTTCAGAAATACAGCAAGTATTTCAATTTTTGAATGCCGAAAGAAGAAGTATCAAGAACGAAACAAAAACACATTTCGATAAATTTTCGACCATATCAGGGAAGAGCTGACCTAATTACACACATTTGTTTGATTTAAACATCGAAAGATATTTTATATTAAATTATCCAATTAGGAATTTGTGAATGAAAGTTATGTTGGTGTTCATTTTAAGTTTTCTTTTCTAGAAACTAAAGCTTTAATGATAATCAGTTATGGTAAGGCAGCTCCCTCTTCTTGGCAGCAGATTAAAATATCATATTTAAAGACAATAAATGAAATTAAGAATACTCCTTCCCGCAGCAATATATAATAGAAACATTTATATTCGTTCATTTTATACAGTTATTCCATTAAAATTATTATTTTACAACTGTTTGATATGTTTTCATTCATTGTTTATACTAATATCATTTTCGATTAATTGTTGACAGTGAAAAACTGTCAACAACATTTGGATAGCATTTCAGTGAAATAATTCAACAAAAAGTTCTGTCATTGCTTTTTTTTTAAATTAAACAAAGAGTAAGAGTATAAGTGTAGATTCACAAAATTATACCTTAACATGTTGGCTCTAACAAATACTGAAAATTTATACTGAAAATCGAAATATTGATGAGATTAATACAAACATATTTTAGTTCATGTACGTGCATATGCTATTGCAAACGTGATTTTCTTGAGAGTAATTTTAGAGACATTCTCAGTTGAATGATTTTTCTATTTTTTACGAAATAATGAATTAAGAAATCATTTTAGTTATTTCATTTATAGATTCATCTTTTCTCTTTATCGCATGAATTCCTCTTTTCAGTGAAATATTTTGAATGTCATCAATTTCAGATGTGAACGTGTATTTGAGCCATACGTATTTGTGAACGTGTATTTGAGCCAGTTTGCAACTTTTTCATTATTTTGTGGGAGAAAAGATTACGGAAGTGATCATCAATTTCTATCCAGAAAATAGCAAAAAAAGGCCCAATCATTTTCTATCCGGAAAATAGCAAAAAAAGGCCCAATCATTTTCAACAATAATTAAAAATGCGTTAATTACATATTAAGATCTGGCAGAAAAAAAAATCGCAATAATGGAATTCATAATAATAATTATATTCATAATAATAATAACTTTTGCAAACAAAAAAAAAAACTTATCGTAAATAATTATACTTTCGTGAAAATTATTTATTAGTAATATTTTCATGCAAAATCAAAATTGATTAACTATGTGTGAATATAAATTAATGCATGTATTTAGAGGCGTAATTAAGATAATGAATGTTTATGGTACTTCTAGAAGTACCAGAAATCATTACTTTCATAACACTTCGTTCAACTAATTTTACTACTTCTAGAAGTACCAGAAATCATTACTTTCATAACACTTCGTTCAACTAATTTTACTTTCACTCTAATTTTATGCAGCACTTAGATCGAGAGCAAATGATTGCTTTATATTTGTAGTTTACACAAGTGAAAACATTTGAAGTTTTTTATAAGAGAAATATTCTTTTACCTGAAGTCATTATTATTTACACCTGTCAAGAATATATTTTGTATGTATTATCCATCTTCATTAACATTGTCAATTATTATATTTCCTTTGATGTATTTGGGCAAATTTCTTTTCTCCTAAAGTCTTTTTTGAATAATTAATATTTCATTTCAGTAAATCGGAATTGTAACTTTATTTGAAATTTTGCTTTGACAGTTAATTTGGTATTATTAATACAATATGTTTAAATTTCCAAAAATGAGATCAAATCTTTTTTTGCTTTTATGTAATTATAATTTACCTTGTAAATCATTGCTTTTTCATTTAGGAAATAGTTGTAAAAATTCATTTAATAAAGGTATTTTTATGATTGGAAATCGAAAAAAGAGCAATTAAGTGATATGCAAACTTTTTTTGAATATAATTAATTATAATAAGATCCTGAAATAAAGCATATAGCAATAGTTATCATAATTACTGCATAAAATTTCATAAATTGTTTAAATTAAAAAAGAGGTGTTGAACGGAAATGATTTGAGTGAATGAATAATTGAATAAAATTATTTGTCACCAACCTTTGTCGCAATTCTTTTCTGTAGTTATGAAGTTAATACTCCGGAATTGTTTGAAAGTTACAAAGCTAATATTCAGGAATTCTAAATTGTAATTGTTCAGAATAAGGCGGTATTTCTTGGAATGATCTTTACCGCGTTTTGTTTTACTCCGGGAAATTCATCTAATCTTTGTCTTCCATTATTTATTGTATTGCAGTAAAGGATGTAGTAATTTATTTCATTTATCCGATCGAAAGGCATGAACGAAATAGGGGAAAAAAGACAATTCAACAAACTATTTTCTCACTTTTGCTACTTCGAATTTACTGGCCATTCCCGCAGTATTATTGTTATTTCCAATAATTTCATTATTTAATGGATTAATCTTTGTGGTTTGCGGCTTGTGTTTTCCAATGATTGAAAGAATTGCTTGACGATATGGTCCAAAAGCAATAATAGTACTTATAACAACTACAATTGAATTTAACTGAAACAATGTAGAATTAAAAAAAAAACCGTAATAAAGATTCTGGAACAGAAAGAAACAATAGTGAAATAATGGATGTTGAAATTTTACCTCATGTAAAACATAAATAAATTGATGAATAGTTCGGTAGAAAACACTATGTTGTAATTGATGTTCGCATCCAGCAAAATAACAAATAACTGATGTAAGTGAATAAACTGTAATAATTTTATAGCCGAGTATTTAGTTATATTGATTTTCTTAATTTCAAATTAGATTTTTCTTTTTTAAGATTTGCTTAAACAATTGTTAAACTTACAAAAGCGAGGTAGAACAATAATTTCAGCTGCACAGCTGTAAACAGCAAATGAAAATAATCGTTTACGCCTTAATTTCACAATTTCAATAGCACTAATTCCGGCCGGTTTATACTTGCAAATTTTAATGATTGCCTAAACAAAATTATTATGTGTCAGATAAATTTGCTAATGTTAGGAGCTACAAATTTAATAATGATATATGAAATTTGTATTGAAATCGTATCTCTTTGTCTTTCTTTTAAATTTCAAATTAAATTTTCGTCTAATCGATATTCGATATCATTTTTTTGATTTTTGTTGTTGTTGTTTTTTTTTGGTTGTTGACAAATTTATAAAATTTAACCATCGCAGTAACAATGAATAAAGCAAAAAATAGTATTAGATGTGTTAGATGATATAATATTGAAATTGAAAATTGCTCTCTGATAAAGTCTACACAACTGTTCCATAGAAATAGCGATATATGAATGATAAGATAATGATATTTTTGACTCCTGTAAAAATAACTCTTAACAAGTATCTTAAATTTGAAGATTTTTTTAAAAACTATTGCTTAAAAATTTGAAATTCACTGTTCCTTTAATTATAGTATTATTAATGATAAGATGATAAACTTACTTATTCACGAAATGCTTCATATAGAAGATTGGATTAACAAAAGCTAAATAGCAAACAATAGCTACATAAAGCGCTAATGCATGAGACCAAATATATCCGAAACTGAGACATCGCCGTGCCCAACGTCGAATTCGATATCTACAGATAGTAGTAGCATTTTCTTCTTTTACTGAACTCTTTTAATATCGTCCATCATTAAATTAATTATCTCTTTGATTTACATGATTTAGATTCTATTTGTAATTTTAGGATAAAATTTGATAATTTTGCACAATTCTACTGCATGTTATCTTATCATGTTATCTTATCAGAAACTTTCATATTATCATACAGAGAAATTTCAACTGAATACATTTATTTTTTCAACAATCATAAAAATGATTCCAATAATGAAAACGTTTTAAGATAAAACTAAAATTAACATCTTTTCATCTACGCCGACGAAGAGAGTTGTAACATTTATTGCATCTATAACAGTAACAGCTATAGTTGTCACAATGCAAATTGCCATTGTATTAAGCGTAAAATATTTCAATAAGCTATCCTTCACTTTTGCAAATGATAAATATACCAAAAATGGTATAATTATTATATCAAAAATTATTGCAAGAAATGAAATGAGCTCCATGATACCGTATAAGGCTGCTAAAAATACATTTAATTATATAATTTTTCAAACAAAAAAACTAATCATTGAAAACTAAAAGATCATAGATTACATAACTACAATTTATAGATAAATCGATAAATTTGAGGTTATTTTAATTGGCAATATGTAGTTAAATTAATAATACATACTTTCAAGGCACTACGATATTATAAGGTATGAAATGAATTGTTGACTTAAACGAGCGAGCTGAAGAAAATTTGAGAATAGGAAAATTTCAGTATTACCAGAATTTTACTTAGGAATTCGTCGAAAAATAAGTGTATGCATGAATTATTTAATGTAAAGAAAAATTATATTTTAAAACTTACGGCACGATAATCCTTGTGCTGCACAAATTGATTTCTCGGTAGTATTAATACCTCCTTCATGATTAAACATGTAATTGCTAGTATCGTTAAAAAGCAACATTAAACATTGATCTTCGATGGAATAAATTATCGTTATCAAAAGTTCATTGTAATTTTGAATATCAAAAATTTACTAAAAATGATTAATTCAACAGCTATAAATTGAAGAGAAACTTGGGAGTTCAAAATTGGCTACGATAAGATAATACGGAAAATAAGGAAGACAGGAATGTCATTTAAGAGATATCATTGATATTCATTGATATCCGAAATTAATTCCTCTTTAATTCAAAACACAAATAACTAGAAATAATTTCGTTTCCTCTGTTCAATATATGCATATGATACGTATGATATAAATCTAAACATTAAAAAGTGATGTTATAAATTAGCTGATTAAATAAATGAAAGTGTCGGTTGGCAAAATTTTAACTTACTGAAAACTTTCCGTAAAATCAATGATTAGCAAACTTTTCGTAAAATTCTACTTACCAATGATTAGCAATTAATGATCACTTTAATTAATTGTATATTCAAAATTTTCGAAACACTGAACAATATTAATTTTCCTATCTAATCATTTCCTGAAACTATTCAAGAATTAATAAATTAATTGGATCTGAAATAGTTCTTTGCTATCTAATTATTTATGCAATGCATTCAAAGGTATTTTAAGCGGTAATTATGTAAGAGGCATTTCAATAGTAGATGATGAGTGGATTAAGAGGGTACCGCACAAATTTCATTATTATATTAACCCATTAAATAAATAAATGACATTATGGATTAATACAGTACTAAAATATATGTGGTACTCTCCTAATCCATACCATTGAATTTTCAATCACTAAAACGAGTGCAACTATTGACATAAACCATTTTTCGACCAGATAAATAAGCTTCCGTTAAACGATAAACAAATGATGGTTGTTATTAAGAATATTAAGCACACCGTTGTGCTTACATGATAAATCATCAGAGCATTACACAACTTGTTAACTAATCATGATCCTTAATTTATCATGATCCTTAACTTAACACGAAAAGTAACAACCTATCTTTACATGTAAATTAATTTTTTTTTCATATCATTAATTCTCATTAGTTTTCATTTTCGTTTGATGAAAGGAATAAGCGGCTAAAATAATTATTTGATATATTGGAATTTAGTTTTCCTGAATACATAACTAATTGAAAAATTGATAGTATTGTCTCTCGTACTAATTCAATAAGGTCACATGAAGTTAAATTTAACTTCATGTCACCCTATTGAATTTCGCTCCTTTATATGATCAGAGAATACGACGAAGTAGGTGTACTTCATATATGAGTTGTTGAAGTTTGTGATTTAAAAATTTAATGATTTATTTAAATATACTATGAATAATTTTTGGACACATCAGATCGTCTAGATGCTTCATTCTTTTGAGCTCTCTTTGATTTTTGAGCTACGTATGTCGCTGCTGTCAGCAAATAGTGAGTTAAACACATGAATCGGCAATCTTCTGCTCATTTTATTTTTTACAATTTCCAGTTTCGTATCCCTTAAACTAACCAACCAATCCAATTCATTGCTATATCAAATATTCAATTATTTTAAAGTAATTACTCAATTACTCAATTATTTTAAAGTAATCACTCAATTACTATATTAATTACTTAATTATTTTTAACGGTTTTTGTTGAAAGTGCAATAAATTTGTCTGTTTCGATCGCCAGTTACAACAAAATGGTTACAATTTTCTGTGTACTTTGCCAAAAGTTTATCTTTTTGCAAAATAAAATTATAATTGGGAAAAAGAAATTCAAGTAATCATTCAAGAAAGAAAACGAAAACAAATAGGAAAATTCAACGATAATAATAAGATTTGATAATAACTGATAATAGCTGACAACAACTTGGTCTGTTAATAACTCAAAATTTTTTCATTTAATAAGATGAAAGAAAACTTGGCCAAATTGTGAAATAGCCTTATTTTAAAATAAATTTAAAAACGAGCAAAATATAAGCCAATAAATGTTGAGCTAATGGAAGTCTAAGAAACTGAAAAGGTAAAAACATTAAGTTTTATGAAAGAGAGAAGATATCAGTCCAAATATATCAAACGGGAAATATTCTTTTACGTGAAGTCATTATTATTTACACCTGTCAAGAATATATTTGTATGTATTATCCATCTTCGTTAACATTATTAATTATTATATTTCCTTTTTATATTATGAAACATTTAGAAACATTTTATATTATGAAACATTTAGAATAATGCTAAAATGTTTTCAGTTGTGTAAACTACAAATATAAGACAATCATTTGTTCTCGATCTAAGTCTTCCATAAAATTGGAGTGAAAGTGAAACACGCTAAGCGAAGTAATGAAGTATTAGCATTTCTGGAAGTACCATCATGCATTAATTGATGCAGCAGACACTCCCAGTATTTTCAATTAGTTAATTTTCAGTATTTTCAACTCCCAGTATTTTCAAAAAATATTTCAACTTTCGTAGTTCGTATTTCTATACGGATAGCTCAAGCAAAAGATCATACTCAACCAAAAGTCATACATACTATCATTACCGTTTCCGAACTAACATCACCAAATTAGCTTTTCAAGAACAACTACTCGCAGTAACAACTTTGTTTCTGTTAAACCGGAATGAGAAAAAAGATCCGCTATTGTAATATCAATGATTAAAGAATGGGCCAATGTATCCGACATAGTAAAATTGCTATAATCATTTTGGGAAGAAGATCATACAGAGGGGGAACGAGGAAAATAAGAGAACTTAAAAATGGTTTAATGAACCAAAGATAGTTTGATATGTTTTTATATCACTTTGGCTCTTTATGATACATTTCTATCAAAAATGCATGAAATATCGTTGAAATTTCAGCATGATAGTAGTAGACTCCTGCGCTCTTCACTACTAATCAGTTCGCGCTGTAAAAATGAAAATTATTTTTTGTAAAATTGTTGAGAAGAAAAAATGATATAAGAGAGACAATTTAAAACCAAATGCTTTTGAATATGTTGAAAATTCGAATGATCTGACCTTGTCGTATTAATATGATTAATATGATACGAAACGCAATATAGAGAGATTTCAGATAAAGTTGGATTATAGTTCTAAGTTTACAACACAAAAGACCTAAGCTGCGAATGCAGAAAAGTTCGAACGAAGCAGTGTCTTTGACCTTGAAATGAAAAGGAGTTGTTCATTTGACTGAAATTGTAATCTTCTATTTGATGCGATTCATTTTGCTATGATCACCTTAACTTTAGTGAGTTGACAAAATCGTAGTAATGCACATCAAAGCAATAAAAATGCGCCACTTGATGTGATTCAGCGAAAAACGTGTGAATCATTCTTTTTCATTTTTGATGCCTTGTTCAAAAGATCTCAGAAGTATCTCGATAAAAACATAGTACTTTATTCAACGTTACTCATTAGGAATATTTAACGCTCGATAAAATCATTAACAAACTTCATTAAGGTAATTAGCATGAAAGCGCTAGTTGCTCTATGTACTACTGTGTAGTTAAGAGATTGCAAACAGCAGCAATAAGTATTATTTGTGCCAATAATTTTTCTCGATGATTACGCAACATTGGAAAATGGAATGAAATTTGTCAGCAACTAAAATCATAGAAATCAATTGAAAAAAATTCTTCTTCTCTATTTGTAAATTTTAGATTAATTTTCCGCAACCGTCCTAGTACTGGAACCAGATACTAAAATCGGTGGACAAAAATTTGCAAAGTTTGAGCATCATAGCAATAATGAACGAAGAGGCGAATAATATAACAAATAACGGCCATCACAATTATCAAAATATGATAATTGATTTTTTTTCCGGTTATACCACTCACTGAATTGATTGAATTTGTCATTATTTTTATTTTATCTACTAAATGATTTATTTGTTGCTGCGGTTAAATAGATCGATACTCTGGAATGTATGCTACAGCCTATCAAAAGTGTATGATATGATACTTCATTATTCGTTCCTGGATATCTTCTACTTGAATAAGAACGGGTAATTTTCCCATTTATCACAGGCTTCCGTGTCTCTTTATTTTACATTTGAACTCTAACCCTCTACAAACAATCAGTTACGGTAAGGACTGTTGCACATTTGGCAAGAGAAAAAATGTAAATAACAAATTCAATCTTTATTAATTTTGTTTCTTTGCTTGTCACCAACACGACGAAAAGTTCCAGCGCCATATTTGTTGCCCAGAGCAAAATCAGCAAATTCTCGAGAAAATTTCACATGAAAATCATACACTATATCTGGAGTTGGTAGAGCAAACTCTCTAAATTATTAATATTCATTAAATCGGTATCATCATTGTTCCTGTATGGGAATCTGGTTGAAGTTCCAAAAAATCGAAAAAGATATAAATTCAAAAAAAGGCCTCCAATAATAACATTTCTAGTTTTGAAAATACTATCACTGGAAGAGAAACCGTTTCTTTAAAACACCTAATTTTTGTATGAACTTGTTCAAATTTCAGAAGTGCCTCTCGTAAACATTGTGTAACTGATTGCTTAAGCACAACTTTTTAAAAACTTCTCTTCATACAACTTCAACAAGAAATGACTTACTCAACGTACACAGCAAGTATTATTTCAGCGATCACAATAGTACCACATATTCGTAGAAAATTTCTCCTGTTAATTTTGGCGGATGGCTGAATAATTTTTGGACAAAGTTTGAGTACAGACAGCCTCATTGCGATTTAATACCCTAAAATTTCATTCATCAATCTTATTTAATAATTTATCTTCCATAACGGTGTTTTTCACGTTGATAGCCACACCTACTTCATTTTCTTTCTATCGTCTGCCCTGTAATTTAATATTACAAAATTGTGGTATGAAATTGATCAATCCTTATCATTCATCCTCCATTTACTAGCCCTTTAATGACCACATTGTCTACTCATGCACTATTAGCCAAATACGAGCATATCGTTAATGGACGATATTGAAGAGCGAAGAGAAAAGAACAATGAAAAGGTTACGGCAAGTTCTATGCTGTTATCCAAATTATTTGTAACGCTAGTTATTTCATTTCCTTCTCAATTTCTTAAATCACGCTATTCTTGCGTTCTCTCAATCTCCGAAACCATATTGTTCTCAAATCATCTCAAACCCTACCGTCTCTCCAGTTCAAACGACTTACTTGCTATCATTTTCATTAGAACCAGAGAACACTGTCAATTTCTGGCAGCCTTCATAAGTGTGTCATTTCGCTACATTCTACGTCCCCTTCCGTTATCTCTGTAAGTTATAATTGTGTACTGGTGTGTTTAAATGTATTACGTTTTCAAGCTTAATGAGAAGATTGTACGGGAGAAGCGGAAATCGAAGATTTGTTGGGGAGGGAGGCGAGTTTTGTTTATAATGGTTTTGAACATTATTAGGATTAATTTAAGATACATCGGGATTGTCTTACATAATTCATAGTATCATGAGGATTTGAATTCTCTGGCCAAGATAAATGTTTGATATACTCTTTCGAACTAATCCTATCCTTTCAATGTTTAGGATAATATTTGTAAGAAATGGCTCAAATTCATTATGGCAATGGCAGGTTATACGTTGCTGCGGGAAGGAATATTTTTGAATTTACTTTTATAATCGACAACAACTCTCCAAAGTTGAAACTCTACCGAAACATCGTAGTGTCATTCAAGAATCCATCAGCTTCAACTCAAAAGAAGGAGGATCAGGTCAGTAATTTGCCTGTTGAACTCTTGATTTGTTGGTGCTAGATTGAATAATAAGTAGGGAGGCATATGACTAGGCATTAATTATAATGTATAGAAAATCTGCCTCATCTTTCGCTATTTCCAATATGCTTGTCATCATGTGCAAATGTTTTTGTTTAGAAATTTCGTACCGTTCAACTCCATATTTTAAATGAGAAGAAAACTCAACTATCATTTGAATCCATATTTTTGAAGTGCTAGTGAGATGGGAGAAAAACGAATTGGAAAGATAGGAAGAAAAGGTAGAAGTGGAGAGAAGAATATTCATCGGATTCCGAATTCTATTTAGATGCAATATTCTTCTTTGACTTCTTATCCGTCAATTGAAACGAATACGCTTATTTGAAAAACCTGAGTTATTGATAGATATGAGTATTAAGAAGTTATAACGAATGAAAATTGAATAAATTAGAATATATCCAGACTAAGGAACTGTCTAAAAAGTTCTGTACTCCCAATATTACTAACATTTTTAGATTCTAGCTAGTACACTGAGTACGGATGGTACGTTGTTCGCAGTTGCCACCACATCAAAAGAATGTTTCTTATACAATGTTCTCAATGACTGGAAAGAAGTACGTCCAGCGCTACAACTGCCAAAAGCAGCGACAGCTGTACTTTTCGAACTTTCCGAAAAATTTGTAATTGTATCCGATCGGGCGGGTAATGTTCGCCGGTACAGCTTGGACGAAAAAAATTCAGAGGGAAGCAAAAGCAGAGAACACAGTGATGGTTAGTTAGCTCTTTACATATGCAATTTTAAAAGATTTAAGAAACTTTGTCTTCTAATTTTAACAAAATTCTAGAATGTTTTTCAGATATTTGTGCTTATGTAGAAATCTTGCATGAATATTTCGTTTAGTTTTCAGATGAGGGAAGTTGTGAAGGCGAACTTTTGTTGGGCCATGTATCGATAGTCCTAGATATTGATATATCTAGTGACCGAAGATTTTTGATAAGTGCCGACCGCGACGAGAAAATTCGTATTTCACGTTATCCTGAATGTTACGTCATACATCGATTTTGTTTGGGTCATTGTTCATACGTAAATTCAATTCAATCAGAAGGCACTTTGCTTTTCTCTTCAGGTAAATTCTTATACTAGTATTATAGAATTAGATGTGATAATGATTATTTAAAATGTTAGATTTGCTCTGAAGGTACCAATTTAAATGTTATTGTTCAGCTAAAGGATTTGTAGGTGGTGACGGTACTCTAAGGGTTTGGGACATGGAAGATGGAAAACAAATTGCCCAATGCGATTGTTTCGAAAAAAAGGCGATTCGTCGCTGTAGAATGATTCCGAATTCTTCTTCAAAGGTATCTCTTAACTAGATTTAAATTAAAAAACTTTACAACCCTTTTCCGCTCCAAAAAGCATCTTGTATACTAAACATTACCATTAGTCTTATACTATTTTTTCTCTTTATTTGTATGTTTTTGTATTATGCATTGTGCTATCATTGATTCCTTTCTGGGATATTCGACCACGTTTTCACTTTAAACTTAAATTATTGCCTTAACAAGTAAATTTTTGATAAGTTTTAAAGTTTATTTCTAAATGTCAAAAAACATCATGGCTACTTACAGGACATAAAGTTGGTAGTGATTTTCGAGTATTGTAAAATAGCACAAATTGTTACCTTCATCCATGAAGACAATGATTTTAAAATCGAGTGTTTGACTTGTTCAGATTTTATTCTCGACATTGTTGTAGGAGATAATGGAATTTTCGTCTTTGGTATTACAAGGTAATCTTTCGTAATGGACTATTATAGTTTAAACGGTGCTTTTCATTCTTTCAGCTTTCATCTATTTATTTTTCGAGAAACATTTTTGATTTTCATAATTTTCAGGTCATCAATTGTCTTTGGAAGAGTAGATGAGGGATGCCTTAAATCAATTGCTGATGTTGATGAATATGTTACGAATTGTTTGGGTTTAGTTAAAGAGACCTTATTGCCATTGGAAAAGAAAATTGGATTTAATAACGTTGAAGATTATAAGCAGCGTAAAACAGAGCGTATTAGAAGGAAAAAGAGGAAATTATCTATAGATAGTGGATAGGTTTCATATGTCAATTTCTTTATGATGTTACAAGTGGGATGAAGTCATCATGTTAGCACCTTGTACGGGTTATTTAATTGACAGATTAGTATTTTTTTTTAATTTCGTATTTGTTCTCTGATTTGCTACTTAAAATAATCACAAAGCATCATTTTAACTTTTAGAATTGGTCATTTTCCAAAGTGTTGTTAGATTTCTTATACTTTGCACTTATTTGGTAGAATATTATGCATTATTCATTCGCTTCTAATAATACTAACTGGAAGGTTGCATTATATAATCAAAATGGAGAAACTGCTTGTCGAAATAAAGTTGTAAATTTGCATCAAATGAAGAATCATACACTATTTTCTAGCAAATCGATGATTTCTTTGTTCTGCGATCAAAATGATTAATTCCTACCATCAAAGTATAATTGTAATTTATGTACTGTTCAAATACAAAGACACATACGGTTATGTGAAATATGGAGGAACTTAAATAGGAACTGGAATTACTGCCTGCTATTGATTTTTATAAAAAATAATAAATACAACATTTGAACAAAATTTATTTAAAGATGGTGAGTATATCTTTCCTCCATTTTTTGAAAAGATGAATGGGTAAAGTGGAAATCATTTTCACGCATAATTTGTTTACAAATTACATTTATTTATTATATTTATGGTTGTTTCTCGATAAAGGTGATCTCGCATACGTCTAACTAATTAATTGCACACTTACTGTGATTCATAATTAGTGAATCTTTAATTGCAAGAATTTTGTATGATCAAGTTTTCAGGAAGGAAAAGATTCAGAAAGGAAAAACGAGATTTTTAAATCGTCAATGTCAATAATTATATGAAGATGAATCAGCCGATGTGATGCAATGAAATGTGAAATGATCAGTTTGATGGTTCCATCATTTTTAAATGATGAAAATTTTTCAGTGTAAAAATAATTACAAAAACAATGACATTATTAACACACAAATGAAAAAAAAAGGAGTGAAAATTTTTTAACAATAATAAATGACATAATAGCATTATCATGATTGATTAAATTTTAATATTTGATATAAAAGATATCTGAGATTAAAGAAATCAGAACTATTACTTATATGATTACAAAAACTACTACCATGCACTATTTTTATGCTAACGCCTCAGAGCGAAAAATTTCGATGGTTTAATAATTGCATCACTATCGATAAGAAATATTCTACGACCTGAAGTATATTGACTTGAAACCTTTGTTTCAGGTATTGTTGAAGTGATAGATCTTAAATTCTGATTTGATTTAAACGGAATTGAAGATTTGGTTCCCAATTGATCAGTAAACTTGTTTACGTCTTTCTCAGGTGAAATTAAATGTACAGTTCTGTCATGATATGGTTCTGATATCGATCCTATTTCATTATCTAAAATCAGAATGATTATTAGTTGCTTACTAAGTAATACTAAGCAATTATTTCTTTTCTCTTATCTTTCATACATTTAATAAACTCAAGAAATACTACACATTATCTTAATATTCTGTATTCATTTTAATGCAATCAATCGCAGATCATCCAATGAATACAACTATTCGATTTGTTAAATTTCCGCCGGAACAAGTGATCTTAAGTTTTACACTACTTTGTAACAATTGCAATAGATTTTACAGAGAAGAATTATGAAGAAAAAGAAGACATTACTTGTCACGTATTGCTTCGATTTCGAATCGTAAATAGCGTAAAATCGAGTGGGCGTATTTTTTGATGGCTGAAGTGAATTTAAATATCATTCAAATTCTTCTATTCGGGACTTCTTTCTTTGGCCCATTTTCAGTTGTACACATTCATATTACGTTACAAGAAACCTTATTCCAATTTAATTTTTAAATTTCAATTTAAAATCGTCTTTTTATTTTTCTTCTAATTTATAAACATATGGGTTATGTAATAATAAGCTCACATGTGATGGAATTGCGCTAACTTTAATTGATTTAATCGGAAATAGAGATAACTTCTGCCTTAAATCCTGAAATACATTCTGTAGGACAAGAAAATTATCGAAAATGTAACTTCTTCCTTAAATTTTTAATTAGTATTTTTATTATAATTATTATTTTATCACTATCACATGATGCATGTTTTAATTTGCTTAGGTTTGTGATACGATGATGCAATTAAAATTTTAGGAAGGAAGAAGTTACCATTATTGCAGAAAGAATTAATTAATTGATTACGACATCATTTGATGAACTGCTATTTATCGGCGCAATATTACATATCTTAATATTATGGCAATGGAACTTATTTACAGACCCGATACAACTTTTCCTATTTTATAAGAAAATTAAATAAACAGTCCAACGGAACGGCTTTCGGATATTGTCTGTAATCACAAAAAAATGACGTGACATGATGATTAGTGTTTTTCTCTTGGTTCAACAGCGAATTCAGAAAAAGGAGTAATACTATTTGACAGGAAGGCATCGATGTCTGTCAATTTAAACAGAATCGATCAATTAAAAACACTGGATGATCTTGATTTTATGAGAATAAGTGATTTAAATTGTGGCTTAATTTTAAATTAAAATTAATTTAAATATAATTTAAAGTTTAACTCAAATTTGAAATGAATAAAAGAAAACAAAAACGAAATGCCTCAAATGCCATTTAATAAAATGATCGATCACTTACCTCAGTATTATCAATATTATTATTATCTTTACTAACTGCTTTTAAATTTTGATGCAAAATGTTTCCTCGATCTGAATGAATTCTCTGTCGATTATTGCTCTCTTCCAAATCTGATTGAGCTACAAAGTATTTCTGTCATTAAGAATTTTATACCATATCTATTTCACTTAGTTTCTTTAGAATAAAAGAAGTTAGTAGCATTCTTTTTAAACCTAAAAATAAACACCAAGCGATAGCATTCAACAAAAATTGATCTGTTCCATGTTGGTAGCAATTTTCATATTCAACAATTAAACATTAACTTTTCGGTTTCCAAGAAACTAACATATCAAATTTGTAAAAAGGCCTTTGCTTAAGTTCAATCTTATAAACAAAGACGAGGAACTTACAGATGAAAGTAAATAATATTAATCTGGAAATGAAAACTCTCTCAACAGATACTAAGAAATAAGTTTGCATTGTCTATAAAGGTTATAGCATTTTATGAATAATAAATAATATTAAGAAATTGTTTCTAATTGATGAAATAATTAAACAAAAGACAAAATAAAGAATTCTTTGTCTACAAACCTTGGAAATTAACGAGACTTTCCTGTAAATTTTTTTTGAGAAACACTATACCAGAAGATGGTATATTCGAATCTGCAGCAAAAATTCTGCAAATCATGAAAACTTTACGATCCCTTAATTTCTATTGAATTCTAAATTGAAACATGATCATCATTAAATGTCTTCAATAATGATGATAATCTAAACTAAAATTTAAAATTCCCTCTTTTTTCTTGAGCAAAAATAGCATAGATATAATTGATAATTACAGACCTTGGTGGAGCGTTCCTTTCGAAATTTTGCATATGTTTGGGTACAACATATTTCGGATAAACAGGATAGTACAATATTAAACTATCTACAAGAACGGTTGCAGATAATGTTGCAATCACTAATGAGGTAAACATATATCACTACAGTAGAAACAATTGACGAATAATGGAGTAAACAGTTCGCTGCTGAAAATTTTTTAAATTATCCGATAATCAGGAAACAGTAATCGATCGATAATAGTTTAAACTTTTCCATTTACAATGAATGTTTGATTTCATTAGACTAAATGGAACAGATAACAAATTATCATATTTTTATCATAAAATTTGGTGTCGAAAAACTGTTAAATCTATCCTTCAAATTTAACAAATATAATTTACAGTTTTCGAGAAATTAACAGGTAGGAAATTAACATTTAGAAGAGGAAATATCGATGGAACTAAATTACTGTGATAATGATTTCAGTGTTGGCGAAGATTATGAAAGTAACAGGTAGGAGAAATTAACAGGTAGGAAATTAACATTTAGAAGAGGAAATATCGATGGAACTAAATTACTGTGATAATGATTTCAGTGTTGGCGAAGATTTTGAAAAAAAAGATTTGATAAAAATTACTATCAGATTGATGAAAAACATGTGAGTGAGTTTCTTGCAAATTTTCGGAAGTTCAATCATAATTGAAAGATGGAAAAGATTATCATTAATATTGATAGCATATGTATACGTACGTACGTGAGAGTTACGATTGAGAAGACATGAAAAAGGTAGAGATGACAATAAACGTGGGAAAATGATATATTAGATGACTAATATTAACTTGAAACAATTGCTCGCAAGAATATTTTCAAATAGGTAGGATATCAACAACAATCGAGAAGAATTGAATAAGTCATTTTGGTGAAGAAATGTGCAAGGGCTGAATGGAAGAAGACAAAAGAGCAGAAGATGGGACAGACGAAAGTGAGCTCACACTCTCATTCTTGATCATCATGATTTACAGATGTAAGGATACAGGAAGGGGAGTGGAATGAAATGAGAAGGAGGTCAAAGGGTGAAATGAGGTCGTGAAGTAATGAAAATTGATATCCAATGAAGCTAATAATTCTCATTCGGCATAGTTTTCTTTGTTCATCACTCATCAAAGTTCGAAAGTTTATCCTTTTACATACTTCCCATACAAATGACCTTTTGTAATTTTTTTTTCCAAATAATTTGAGGAAAAAAGTTTTCCGGAAAATTATCGAAAAAAACGTAGTAATATGTTTCATGACTTAATAGATTGAGATTTTGAAGAAGTGATTTAAATTCAAATCATTTCAAAAACATACTAATCAATTTTTTTCTCAGAAAATAAAGTTGACCTTTACCTTAAAATTCCTGACAACAGAAAATTAATTTTACATTTTTACTACAAAGATTTTCAAAACAGACGCTCATGGAGTCGTCACGACTAAATTGTAAACTGGACGACCCTGGCAGGACTCGAACCTGCAATCCCCTGATTAGAAGTCAGATGCCTTGTCCATTAGGCCACAGGGTCAATTGCCCAATCCGTCAAAAATTCCATGACGTCATGTATGACCTTTATGTTAATGAAATTTTTTGATTTGCAAGTTGTAAAAGTGACGACGTGAAAAGCAAGATACTATATGCATGCCTTCAAACATTACAGCGTGGTAATTAAGTGCAAGAGAAGAGAGAAGGATTATTAAGCCTTACAAAGAACTGCAACTAAATGATTGATGTATGGCCTATCTAAATGAATAAATGAGGCCAAACGAAGGAATGGCACAAAAAAAAAGCGAACGATAAAAGAAGAGTACGGCGAACAGGTAGGCAATAGTAATATTTATTATATCTAATTAGCATTGAAATAATTAAGTGTAAAGAGAATATTAAATGAAATTTCATTTTCATCAAAGTATTCCAATTAATCTAAACTTAACTCACTTCCTAATTTATTTGATAAAATTTGCATTTTAAAAATTTTATAAGAAATAATTTATAATTGCAGAAAATTGAAGAGATTAGAGAAAAAAAAAGAAAATCCGGAAAGAATATTTCTCCGGCGAATAGTGAAGAAATATTCTTTCCGGAAATTAGAAGCTCTCTTGCCGGAATATATTTGAAATTCTCAATAGCTCTTCATATTTCATATAAAATTTGAATTAAAATTAATTTGCAAATTAATTCCTGAAATTACGTAAATTTCAAACTCTTAGATTCAGAATTAGGTACGGAAGTCAAACAATGATAAAGATTTATCAGTTTATAAAATTAGCTTATCAAATTATTTTCAACTTATAAATTAAAAGTCTCATTAAGTTTATGAATCTTATTTATTAATCTACGTCTTCGATATCATTTAATAATAACCATTGTTTAAACTTATTTATCAGAATACCAAAAGAATACCGCTTTTTAATTGTTTGTCGATTTGGAAGAATAAAGAATCAGTGATTGTTACCAAATTGGAATTCGTCGGGGAAATTCCATTTGAAATGATGGCATCTGTCATTTAAAAGCAAACAATGCAATTTCCAACAAATTCATCTTACAATTCTTCTTTTATTTTGGCGAAAACAATGATAAAATTCAATATGAATTATTTCATTCAAATTAGCGATCTGTTGTTTTTGATATATATATATATTTCAAATAGCAAATTAATAATAGCCTATTTGGCAAATTCTTGGCTAACAATTAAATGATTCACTGGCTCATTATCATACACTAGCAATAGATCCAAAATGTAGAAATTGATAATTACAATTTTGGAGATATTTCAACAATTGATTTTTCGGTTGTTTTTTTTAGAACTTTATCATGTTCAAGTTCATACCATATTGCTTTATCATGTTCAAGTTCATATCATTGTGCTCAACTTCATATCATATCACTTCCATCACAACTCTTTGAAAGATTTATTATGAATGAATAACAGCAAATTCTCTTTATCACACAAATTACAGACTACAAAAATTCAGCATATGATGAATTCTAGATTCACTGTTTTCCAGGATAGTTATGCTCATATATCTCTGGCATTTCAAATATTAAAGAAAAAGCGTTTTTATTTATCAGTTCTATTTGATGTTACAAAAGAATTTGAAAGCCTCAAGTAAGCATATATCATTATTTGGGAGATAATAACATCAGATTGATAAATTCCTGATAGAAATCAAATGATTATTTTATCATCCTTCTCTTCTCATTTACCTGAGCATCCGTCTATTTCCTCTTTTGTTAGCAGTTTAAATGGAACGATTAAGTTTTCATGGTAATGAGAATATTGCAGTGATAATTGTAATATCCGAAAATTGTATATCTCATGACTGGCATGATATTTACTTATTTTTATATGGCTGAATTGATACTTTACAAATTCACATTCCGAATTGCTGCTTTTACTCAATCTTTTGCTGAAGCAAATTTTCTAAAGCTTTTACATTTCTCTTCATTGACCACACACACACAAACACACACACACACGCACACACACACACACACACACACACACACACACACACACACACACGCACTTACAACAGTTGTTCTGTAGAAAGGATATGTTAAGAATGTATTGAAATTTCGACGTAAGCATACTTAGTTCATTCTTTGTAGATATACGAAAAAATATTAAAGGCTAATTTTTTTCAGCAAAATTCATAGGAAACATATGAAATCTAAAATTATGTTCTCTTTCTATTTTAATTAATATGAATTATAATTTATTAACATTACTAATTGCATTGTCTCAAACATCAAAAGAATAGCAATAGCAGTAACAGTAACAATAACAATAACAGCAAGTACCTACGGATCGATTACTAATCAATCAAATGAGATATCGCCCATTTATCAAAAATTTTCTCAATAATTTGTTATCAAAAAATAATAAATGATTATTAGATTTATTAAATTCATCGTTATTTATATTCTGTGAATTAAAGAATATTAACATTTTTATTTTGTAAAATTTCATTTAATGAATTAATCTTTGTCAAAGAAAAATTTCGTTGAATTTTGTTATAATTTCTATTTGAAATGAAAAAATTAATCGAAGAATTTCTCCTACATAAGATAATTTGGTTAAATCATTTATGCTACGAATATTTTTCTTACGAAATTTGATAACAACTCCACACTTTCGGCTGTGTAGGAAGGAACAGGGATAAACAAAAGTTGCAATTTGTTGTCCATTATCTCAAAAGTGACGGATTAGATAATGCATGTAAACGATGATGAACTTTTTTTCGATATATATATATAGATGAAAATCTGACTTCATGATTAAAATTCAAATTTCAATTACTTTTCTGGATGAGTAGTAATGCTCAAATAAAATGAATATCATATAATTATTTATTAACAAAATAAGGAGTAACAACGCCAATGAACAATAACAGGCCAGAACTAAATGAAAGTCCAAATTGTCGATCCTTCAGAAAGACAGAAAGAAATTTAAAAAAAAAAAACAAGAAATAGTCAAAACCAAATATCACGGCACATTTAAGATATCCGATAGTGGCTCCAATCCTGGATCTGGTTGTTTCAGAACCCTTTGTAATACTTTATAAGCATCAACAAGCACGTCTCTTGCTGCTCCCTGGAAAAATTTTTAACCTATTGAAAGTCAAAAAAACATAATTGAGTAGCAGAAAATAAACAAAATGCAAAACATAATTTTAAATTAAAAAAAATTTTAGAAAACTGGCCAATCGGTTTGGAAGAGCATCACAACCAGTTCTCTGAAGATGCGGATAAATGGAGTGTTTGCCAGTAAGATTCGGACAACTATTGCGAAAAAAGCTATTTAGTTGGAACTATTTCTTGGAAAATGGTTAAAAGTCGAGAAGTCAAACTTACTTCAACTGTAGACAAGTAATCATCATATCTAGTATTCTCACTCCTGAGTCTAAACAATGCGATTAATGCTTGTTCACATGCAGCGCGAACTGCACTGTTTCTTTCTTTTATTCCATTTAACATCATCGGAACAATAATCTAAAGATCATAAAATTGAATTAAGCCCAACTTCAAAAGCAAAATCTTGCAAAAAGAAAGTTGAAAACTTGTTTGAAATTGAAAAGAAATTAAACAACAACCTTCATTTCATTTATGGAGAGTTTTCTTGACGCAATATGGTGAATTCCTAAGGCTGCTACACATTTCACTTCATTAATAGGATGATTTATCGCCCGCACAACTGATGACAGTAGAGATACATCCATTACTTCTTGACTGAAAACAGGAAAAACTACAAAAGACTGATAAATGATACCGGGAGAAACATTAAGTCTAAAAACTAAAACTTTCAAAATCAAATCGGGCGTAAACACCAATAGTAAGATTAGCGTAAATAAAACTCAGGAATCAATTTCAGTTAAAGTTCAGACAACTCAAACTCACGATACGACGAGATATTGAGATCATCCAATTTTTTTAACAAATTTCAGCAAACAAAATCCCAAGAAAAAAATCAAAAAATTCTTTTCTTTTAAAGTAAGCTGCAGTGAGAAGTAGTCACATAACAAAAACAAATATTACTAGGAGAGAACAGTGTAATTCAGCCAGGTATTTAAAGTTGAAAAGATAATTTGCAAAAAAAGATAAGCCAAGTTGAAAATTGATCTTACCACAAAAGTATGGATGTTGCAGCTCGTATAGCAGACGATGCAGTTTCTGGTTTGTCGCACTGTATTGCACTGCTAAATGTAGAGCGTAGTTTTTCGATACCATACACTTCTAGTATTTCATGTGGATCAGTACACGATGCATATTGTAAGGCATAACAACGATGATTCTCGTCAGAAACTGTAAAAAATAACAATATCCAAACCCATATTATTTGCCGAAATAAATAATCAAAGCTAGTGGTAAACACATACTTAAAGTCACGATTTTTGCCACTTGGTTCATTTTTAAAGCAAGTTCACCAAGAAGTGCACAAGCAGCCTTCACTACCATCCAATGCTCGTTGTTTTCTTGATGTTTCTCCGCTACCTTGATGGCTTCTTGAAGAACACTGTCACTTACAGCTTTTGACTGAACACGAACTAAGATTGCCCTCAGGGCAATCAAAGTTGTTTCGCTGCAAATAATTCAACACAATACGTATTTAAATTTCCAAGATAGCAAAACCAAAAATAACGATCTGGATAGTATATAAATAGACTAGCAACTCTCACATCATCGCAGAATCTGCTGAAGCATTCAGATATTTGATGAGTTCCAATACAATCAAGTCGGGTTTCATGTGAATGGTAATTAAGCGTGATAATGCACCACCCGCACAAAGTCGTACTTTGCGTGCAGTTGTATCTTGTAGAGCTTTCAAAAAAGTACTCTGAAGTTGTGGTAGAAAGGGACGCAGCTGCATATCTACCTAAAATATTAAAAAAATTTTAGGAAAGATATCCAAAAAAAGCAATAAATTTCTTAGCAAGATTAGTAATTCAAATGCAGTACCACGGCAAATTGCGAAATACATTGAATACAGTAAAAATTGTTTAATTTCATAAATAAAATAGAGACTGAATCATTTACTATGAAAAAAAGTAGAAGAAAACCTTATCCATAAGCAGAGAAAGTGTTGTAAGAATAGAAATCTTGACAGTATGCGAATACCGATCACCAAGAACACGTATTAGGGGGCCCGTAACACTCACAACATGAGGTTTCAGAGCATCTGCTGTGCTTAATAACACAATAGTTCCAAGAGTTTCAGCGGCCTGCTCTTTCAGTTCTGCACTACCCGATAGAATCGCTTCTCGGATAATTGGTAGCAGAGAAGAAATACCCTAAATTTTTTTTTCAAAAAAATTTTCACAGAAATAAATATCCCGTCATTTTTAAGATTTTTCTCCAAAAAATTTGTAGAAAGGAGTAGAAAACAAATGATGCACGGTGATTTGAGTTAAATAACCAAGAATAAAGGAAAATTTGAATAGTGATACCTTACTGCATGCAAATCCTGCTATGGAAGAAGAACCGGCAGTTTTTTGTAAGGATAAAAGGGTTTGCTTTAAGATTGATAAAACAGACAACATCTGCTTTTGGTCCAGGCTTTGACAAACGTATGTTAAAGTTTCAACCGCATTTTCCACCACTTCATTTACTGCTGAATTATAGAGTAACAACGTGCCGTGAAAAATTTCGTCCATAAAATTACTGAGATTAAACTGCAAACAAGCATAAGTTGCAAAAAAGTCCCTTCATCCGAAGTTGATAGTAAAATTAAAAATGTTGCTTTAATATCAATATGTCAAAGACGATCTAATTTTTTAAAGCAGCTACCCTTTTTTGGAAATTCGAAAATATACCACCTGATGATAAATTTGAACAAATTTGTCATTTCCTCGTCAAATGATTTCAATCGCAAATAATACCTGTGCATTTTTGGCAAAAAGGCGGATTAAAGTTGATGAAGGAATATGATTGTAAGATTGTGCTCGTTGCAAAAGAGTGGTGATTATAATTGAAATACCATCCACGTCTGATACGGAAAGAATCACTCCCAAACACTGATTGATTTCCTTACAAAAAGAAAACATTTCTGCTAAGAGTTTATTTCAAAAATCGGGAACATTTTTTAAAATACTCATTTTTCATCAAAGTGATGAATAAATTCTACAACTCAATCCAAATAACTGAGAATATACTTCAAAAATAAGGTAGTATAAAAAAAAAACACAATTTAGCGAAATAAGCAAAGCCTGGACGATAACTCCTAAATTCATTGCAAAATCCTAAAATCTATAATTACCTCTTCTGTAGTGCAACTGTCTAACATTGAATCTAAAATTTTAGCAATATTTCGGCTAAGCGAATCACCAGCAACTGCTGAAAGCGCACATAATGCTTTAATATTCACTGGCGGTCGCGTTAACTTCGGCAAAACATAAGGCAACATTTGCCTGAAATGAATTTCTTGGTCAAACAAATATCAGCAAAATCAAAAAACCAACACATCTTCATAAATTCGCAGGTTATAAATTTTACATTTTCATTGCTATAAACGCTCTGTTGGAATACCACATAAAATAATTACCTTCCATTCAGACGCATTACTTGCGAAAGACCATCTAATACGTCATCTTTACATATTACATTTGCATCCAGAAGTGGCGTCACAATATCCTCAAAGGCCGAGAAGCCAGCAGTCTTAAAATACAGCTATTATTTTCAAAACTAAATAAAAATTGCAAAATGTGAAGTCAGAAAATTTTTTTCCAAATCTCATTAATTTGAAGGATTTCAAGCAAAAATTTCGTCAAGTTAGCGTTTAATTTACAACGCTTTGAAAATCACATTACACACGGCTGTCATAAATCAACGTTTCAAGCAATCCATATCTTTCTTAAGAAATAGAGAATGACTTAAAGGAGGAGAATATGATGAGAGATATAATGTATAGTTAGCAGAATGCATAAGATTGTACAAGTGCATACCTGATAAAACGATGCAAACGAAGTGGCAGCTGCCTGGCGCACTAAAACATTGGAATCACAGATAATTTTCTTAATTGGTTCAACCAGTTGTGCCGAATACATCAATACAATATCCTTCGTAGAATTTTCGATGATTTCATGCAAAGCAATGGCTACTCCAACACGCTGTTCAATTAATTCAGATGACAAGCCACGTTCAAGAACAGGTAACACATCGATGATTATTCGTTCACCCATTTTCTTCACTAATTCTCCAAGACAACGTCCAGCCATCAGTTGTCGATCTTCACTATTGCTTGCCAAACAGCTAAGTAACATTTCAAATAGCGTTTTCATCAGTTCTTTCAGAGTACGTGGAGTATTCGCCACCACTATCTTAACATTATTCTTTATTGTTTCTCAACAAAAACATCAACTGTTTGATTATGAACAAGACTTAAACATCAAATGGAACATAAGCTGAAAGATATACTAGAAAAGTAATGCTACTTACTTTCCAAACATGGCTTGCAACTTGACGAACTTGGAGTGCAATATCTGAACGCGATAAGTAAATGCCTGCCAAAACACGATCCCTGTAAATTTGATGAATTTCTTATTTCCGCGCTGCAAATACTTTTTTGATCTCAATACGATTTATTTTGTTATCAATAATGCACTTTCTGTGATACCTGCAAGTTTGTCCAAGTTGTCGAATAATGGCTTTTCCAGCTGATTCCGTACCCATAGTATCATCCTCGTTTAAAGTTGCTGACGTCATTTTCCCACTAACACCTAAAATTTATCCATCTGATGCGCAAAGAGCAAACGTCCAGAAAGACTGAATTCGTAAATAACAAAAGTAATGATTTCGAACCAATTCAGCAACCGCCCTGTATTTTCTAAGATTCGCTCTGATATTAATTTATAAAACATTCTTATTTCGAATATGCACTTCACATTTATTATTAATATGATTCGCATTATGCATCAGCATGTTTTCAAATATATCAACTTTAAACCAAATAATCCTATTCCTTTGGCAAATTCCCATAAACAACTAATTAATCAATTATTTGTGATTCTATGCTTCTATTCACTTAGAAGCAAAGAATCACAAAATACTAACCTGATATGCTGAACAAGAAATCACCAATCAGTGTAACAGCTGCAAACCGAATTCGCCAATTGTCATCAAACAAAGCAACTTGCAACTGCGGCAATAAAAGCCGCCTAGCATGCCCGCAATACGTTACAATCAGACGCTGACCTGCTTTCAAGGCACTATCTCGTACATATTCGTTCTCATCTGCCAGAGCTTTTAATATGCTTGGTATGACCTGAAAGCATATTATTTCATCTGTATTGATTATTAATGTAATTTAGTTCACCCATCAATACAAATGGAAACATTATCCAAACCTTATAACCTGAAAATTAAAACTTTTAGCTAAATGTAGAATTACGTACGATAACTAATGCTTAACTTTACCGCCAGTTTTAAAATAATACTTGAGACAAAGTTAAACCAAATAGAAATCCAATATAAAAAAATCCTTAAATCCCTGTTTAGCTAGCCAATCTTTGTATTTCAGACAGATGTCCGTTCATTGTTATGAATTATTCTAAGAAATGCAAATGAAATAATGAACCTCAGGTAAATATGGGACAAAATGGTCTCCAAATGCCATAGGTAAATAAATATACATCAATATATAACCATCACGTATTTCTGGTGTTGCCTCTTTCGATTCTGTTGTTTTTATTATATCAGGCATAACCATCGCCAACTGATTTTCACCCACTGCTTTAAGAACCTGGAAAAAAGTCAAACATTGGAAATGGATTTAAAAAAATGATAAAATGAAAAAAAGCGATTATTCCTTATATAACAAATGAGCATCCTGGACATCCCCTGAAAAGGTAAGAAAGTGAAATTGGTTATTATCAAGTTAGAACTCTATTTACATTTGCACATATACATTTACATATTAAACACGTATCAAGTACTTTAAATTCTAATTTTATAAACTAACCTCAGATAATCCTTGCGCAGCACCCGATCGATCTACGGCATTTGTATTCGAAATAAGCTTCTCCTTGAGCCAGGGTATAAGTTGCTCACGTATTTTCGATGCAGTATCTCCAACAGAACATCCAATAATTGCACCAAGAGCCTTTGCAGCAACAGTACGTATTTCTGGGATAGGATCTAACAATGATTTCTGCAATCCCGGTAAAAGACCAGCAAGATACGGTTCCATATCCTGAATATTTTCGTTGTTAGATCCAAAGAATAGTATGAAACACTTGCTGAGTATTCATAGAAAACGCATATGTTAATCATTTGCGTACAGTATGCTAAAAAATAGTGAATGAGACTTTCAAGCCAAGTAAAACACAAGAAATAAGGAAAATAAACATGCCTTATTATCCGCTAAAGAATATATATTCGCGATTATTTGAGCAGCCATACGACGCGTTTCAGAAGCTCGATCAGTAAACGCACGACGAATAATAGGCATTATCAAAGAAAGTGAAGCAGCATCAATGTAATGTATGAACTTTGTATTGACTACCGTTTGTAAACAAGAGGACGTTTTGCCAGCTGGATCAGTCAAACCCGTTAACAACTGATTGCTTATACCTTAAAAAAGAATTTAGTAGAAAATTTCTCATAAAAAATCCCGATGACGATATAATATAACTGTAGCAGAACCATAAAGAACAAAATGAAATATGATTAAAATTAAAATAAAATAATAATATCAATTTAAAAAAGTCAAAACACATATTAAAGCTGAGCCATTTCGTGAAAAAATAAAAGTAATTCCTACGAAATGAGGATAAATTATGCATAATACTGACTGAGAATTTCTGGATTACGAATAACTTTGGCAATCTGTTTTAGGGCTTTTTCTCCGGATTTCTGCACTTTTGAGTGTGAGTCAGTCAGCACTTCGATAAGTTTAGGAACAATGCTTGGCAAGCAAGCTGAGAGTTGTTTGGGAACACAGAATGCCATTGATCCTAGAAGTTCCACAGAAGCACATTTCGTACGCCATGAGTCTTCGTCCAACGCTGTTAGAAGTGACGGCAACACCTAGGAGAGATTAACCTATTTTTTAAAAATAAAACAAGTGGATAACTCACTGATTTCCGAAGAAAAATGCTGCAGGTTTTTCTCACTTTTGAAAAATTTATAACAATTTTTTAAGAAGGTCTTCAAAGAAAATGCCAAATTTAAATTCTCTTCAGTATAATAAGAATATATCGTATAGTTTCTAAAGTTACTCGCAAAATATTTTATATTTACTAGTTTAACACCGTGAGCAGAAAGCATGGACATCATAGACTGTGCTGCATTGTTTGCTGCTTGACGAACGTTATCATCGGAATCACCAAAACAAATTAACAGTGATGGCAAAAGTTGCACAATGTAAGGTTCAAACAATTTACCCATCGAGCTGAAGAAATTTTCATAAAATAATTCACTACCGGCTGTTTTAATTAAATATAAATTACGTTTTAAAATTACAGAGGCAAATATGAAATCAAAAGAATATGGTTTAGATTGTAAATCTAGTTGCTTGTTTGCGCCTTTATAATTAAGTTACTAAAAATCAAGAACGTGACGGATTTTCCGAAACTTCTGAAATAGTAGCAAACAAAAGCAAGGACCAAATTACGTTAGACTGACGGTATGAAGAAAGAAATTGACTAAAATTTGAGAATACTTTACAGAATAAGTGGCTTACCCACAAAGAAGTTCAAGGGCCAAGAGAGCACCTTCACGATGACGGGCATTTTTCTTATTAGCCAATGAATTTTGCAAGAATTTTATCAGCTCTAGCTCACGCATTGCAGACATCCCGAGGCCCTATAAATAATTTTAATTGTGTAAAGACTGTAAATTTAAAGACGACTTAGTACATATTTCAGCTTCAACAACTAATTTTCAAACGGATAACTTCATAATTAATGGCCGAAATCATTTTTTCAAATGTCTCGTCCAGCTTGCTACCACCGAAAGACATTCCCCGCCATATATTTTAATTTCCCTTAGTAATTTCTAAATCGATAAATTTGGAAAATGTGAAGATCATAAATATAATATCAAGTGACTAACATCATTTTAAGTGAAGTATGTTTACTTAAAATAAATTTTTGGAAAAAAAATCATGCTTTAACAAGTCCAGCAATTCCGTATGCTGCTCCTCGTCTCTCGCCATACGAGTCAGCTTCAACAAGGAGACAAGACAGTGTGGAAACAAGTTCCTTGGCACGATCTTTGATTGCTGGAACTAATGCTGGCAAGCATTTGGACACTGCTTCTTGCACCTGAAATTATGAAATCTTTCCATTGACTTAGTACCTTTAAAACTATCTATCAGCAGTATAATCTATATTTTAAAATAGATAATAAGCCTAGAAGAAAAGATGGCTGTTATGGAATCAAGAAAACAATTCTACAATTCAATATTTTAATATAATATTTTTCCTCATGGATTTTTACATGTGAAAAATTTTTCCTTTAGATTGTCAAAACAGTCTTAATGTGAAACCTGTATCTAATTTGCATTTACACAGCTAATAATCACAGCTTAGAATATTAACCTGCTGTGATGGTGTCGAGAGTGTTTCGATTAAACGAGATGTTATGACGCGCACTTTTTCGTTTGTCGGATCTAAATGCTGCGCTAACGTACCCAACATTATAACCAAACCTTGGCGCAAATTGTCAAAGTCTTTACCATCTGGTGTTGAGCTCAACATTTCTTCAAGAAATGATAAAAGCGATGCCATTTCAATTTCTCCATGCTGAAAACAAAGAGAAATTCACTTCTATTAGGATAAGATTATTTTTATAAGTTAAAACGAAATTACCATTTTGATAACTTCAATCGCAGCATTCTGCATCAGTTTTCGACATTCTGGACTAGAATCACTGATTCCATTGGGAACTATGATTTTGATGAAACTCATCACCAGCTGGTGCGGAAGATTAGGAGCAATGACAAGCAGAGCTTCGGCAATGCCTGCTCGATTTTTCCAAAGATCTACAGGACCCGTGATCACTCGCCCAATGTCATCATAAATTGGCGGTCGAATCTAAAATATATCAGCCAAAGTAGAAAAAAAAGTACAAACAACGTTGCCAATAAATAGATCAGAATACTTGAAATCAAAGATAAATGAAAACAAACTTTTCTGTAATCTGAATATAAAACATCAAGTTTATCCAATGTTGGTTGCAGAATCTTCGGAAATTCTTCACACAATTTTCCTAGAGCAACGGATGCGGATTTTCTCAAGAAGACATGTTCTGAAGTTACACTACTCAAAATACTTTCAAGTAGGTCCCTGGAAGAACAAATTATGATATTCTAAGAGGCAACTGCAATATTAAAAAAAAGCGGAGAAATAAATAACAGCACCAGTAGCAACATTACAGAGGTTATTTAAGATTAATGAACAAAACTCTACTTTATGCCAAGGCACAAATCTCGAAAAAAAAATACTAAATTAAATGATAAAAACAAGTACGTAGTAGTGGAAAGGTTTTTATCTTGCCAAATTTTGTCAGCCAAATCAACACAATTCTTCACCGGATCGTTCCGAGCAATAAATACGCGACTTATAAACATTATCATAAACTGTGAACCATCTTCAGTTAATTTCAAGTTATTGTACAAATCATGCGGTCGATTAAGTGCCTAAAATACATAAAGTAATTTTAAAAAGAGATACTGCACTTGGAAGGCACTATTCAAGTAGCACAACCGACTCAATGGAAGATATTTTAGTCCTTGATTTAGTTCATCTATAAAAAAAGTAAGCCAGCAAAACTCTTTCGCTCAAATCAACTCAAAAATAAATTTTAAAGTCATTTCAAATAATTCTTATTAATTATATACCATGAGAGCGCATTCCCTTAACTGATCATTTTCATCTAGCAAACATCGGACGATAGGTTTAAGTATTTCCGCTTCTTGCAAACCTTTTCGCGGACATTTATCTAATAGTTCACAAAAAGTCTGGAGTAATGTTTTCGCATTGTGATATAATTCCGAAGTGTCTATTGTTAGAATATGAAGGAGAAGTGAACAGAGCCAGTTTAGAGGGAGATATTTCACTTCAGTATCCTGAAAAACCATATATATCTATGCGCAAAATAAACAAACTAAACCTTGATGTTTAAAAGAAATCTAAATGGGTACTTTATGGATGAAATACTTTACATGACTGCCACATTAATATTCGATATAAATAAACTTACCCATACCATGATGAAGCACACAAAGAAACATGCTGAATTATGCCATTCTTGTGTGAGCGGAAGTAGAGAACAATGACAAAATTAAAATGAATCTCTTGGGAACTAATTTTCAGAATATTCCAGTTGAAAAAAAATGAAAACATAATTCACTATGGCTGCAACATACTTCAATGAATTTGCCTTTTAACGCAGAAGACAGTAGTAGCATGGTATTTAGTCGCAACGCATAAGGAAAAGATTCATCTCTTAGCACCGCATTAATCAACGGAAACGATACATTGAATTTGATAAGATTCATCTCTTCTTCATCAGCATTCAGTATCTCTTCTACACTAGATTCCTCATCTTCAAATAGGATTGGGACCAACACACATCGAGCTAAAATATACCATCATGACTTCCACATCACTTGAGTATTTTCGAGATTCCATGTAAAATTCTGTAAAACTTACTTGCTAATAATGTTATTGCCCTTTCGACCTGAACAGTAAGCAACTCCTCGTTCCATGCTGCATCCGTATAAACAGAGCGTAACACGCGTATTGACGAATGTAATATGAGTTCGTCTGGAAGTCAATTCTATATCTCCCAGTATATTAGATCTTCTCAAACACTTTCCTGTGGGATAAAAATGATAATATTTACACTACAAAATATGATTTCACGAACTTTCAACGAGCCAAAAAGACACTATCAAATGATGGTAAGCTAAGATTTAGCAGTTCAAACCCCACGTTAACTAGTTGATAAAATAATGCAAAATAATATGAGGTTGTATTTAGTGTGCAATTTTACTACTATTACAAGATTGTATATTGAAAAATTGCATATCGTCAGACTTACGCAAATAATCTTCAGATGGTTCGAACGCTGCATTACGAAAACTACGAAAAATATTATAAGCCAGAGATGATACGAGAGGAGATCTCAACAATGGAATAGCAATCGTAAACAGTAAATGGACATATTTCGCTGAACCAATTGGATCTCCAGTAATTGCTGCTACTAACGATTCAGTGCGTTTCTTGCATTTCATATACAGGTCATGCAGTTCTTCTCTGATTTTCTGAAAAATTTCTTTCATTTCAGAAGCTTACATCCGCAGCTACAATTTATTCTTCCGTTCATTTCCAAAATATAACCTTTTCAACAAGAAGCTCCTCTCTTTTCGCTTTCTCTTGTTGGGGAATTAATTTGCCTTCTTGGCGCCTTTTCTCAGCAAGTTCTTTTTTCAATTGTGCTTCCAATAACTGTTCCTTATATTTGTAAGCCTGAAATTTCAGATAATGTCCGACATATAAAATGCCATAATAATCTGAAAACAGTGCAAATAATTATTGATGAGGGAAAAATAGATTCAAAAAAGTCCCGTTATATTCACACCTTATTTTCCCTTTTCACATTTTTGACACCAAATTCTTCCTCATAATTTAATTCCAAAACGGCCGTATTATAGAGGACTCCATCTGGTGTATTATAGATTGCAACTTCCTGCTCCGTAATTGTAACATACCTAGAAATCAACAGCTTCAGTACAGTAAGAAAATTGAAAAACACTAGAATATTAAACTTTAAAGTGATCTTAAATGAAGTTTCGAATCCATGAATGGCCATCTATAACAAACCACATACTAAAAAAGATAATTAGCTTAACAAGAGACTCTGATAAACCATAGCAAACTTGGAATTGTAATAACAATAGTAGAAACAGCCAATTAATCAAATAAAAAATGTTGAAAGAAATAATTACCGTTCAATGTCGATTTCATTCAACAGATTAATGCAGTATGCCCAAATTGCATCACGAAAGTGTTGTGTTACATCGCCATTTGACATCAACATTCTAATTGCGTTACATTGAATTACTATATCATTTGTAGAGAATATTCGATCCATCATCATGAGAGCACCAGTTTCATCAAGCAAACGTTCAACATTAGTTATTGAATGTACCCAGCGATTCCAACAGCAAGGATCACTTTCTACTGAAATAAGTAAAAACCAATTGCAATTTACTTGTCAGGCGGTGGCATTGCCAAAATGTTCATTAACATATCTGCAAACACAATTTCCGCGTTGCAAAATTCAGGACCACCAAACGTTGGAAATTAACTCAAGACTGACGAGCTGCACTCATGGCTTCTTATCTTTTGATATTGTAAAAACAATGACAATTTTATACGTAGACTAATTCTTATACAAAAATACTGAACATTTATTAAAAGTGCTGATCTACGCAATTTTATACTAAATCTTCAATGCTTAATGACTTCTGTATAAGTGATGTCTGGCTTATGTGCAATTATGATACTGTTGCAAAACATTAACAGCCTTAAACATTATTACAGCATTATAGAAAATTATCATCAGATTTTATCATAATGCTTACCACAAATCAGATACGATTTGTTTGAGAGGACTTACCCATTTGCAAGCTGCATGATATCAAAAGTCCAGATGTGAGGACACCGATTCCTAAGTCAAAATTTTCTTCTGCTGCATTGAAAGGAATCATAGCTTCATGCACTGCTGCAGCTATCAATTTGCTACCAAGAAGTCGCTCATTTTCTTCATCTTGTATTATTGCCACTCTTTTATATGCCTAAACTTTGCAAAATTATGGAGTCATTTTGAGGCTTTCATAGCTGTAATTGTGATAAGATGATTTTGCCACGATAATACACTGACGGTGACAAGATTAAAAAGTATTTTACAAGTGTATTTCTAAATAATTTCTTTCCTCGTCCATTAGTCATTATTGTAGATCGAACGAATGCTAGTGGGCAACAATGTTATTCTCTACGAATATTAACATTTTGAGTTAAACGGACTCTTCAAAAACTGCAGCTTTACCTCTTGCGCAAGACCCGAAGTCACATAGAGAAATAAAAAATCTAAGAAAGCAACACAAAATGTGTTGCCTTTATCGATAACACACTTTCTGACAATGTCATTGGCACCTTTGCGAACTTCATAATCCGGCCAGCAAAGACTCGTGAATAAAACAAAGAATACGTTTCGCAGACCACTCCAATTCTATAATAAAAGAATGAATGAGTAATAAGAACACACAAAGAAAATGAAATATGAAAACAATTTTTTACCCAAATCACCGAGAAAAATAACCTTGGCTTCTGTATTCCTGATCATCCAGTCCGATAATTTTGCTGCATACAAGATATCTGAAAATAAACAATGAGTTAATTACATGGAGCAGATAAAGAATATTCTATTAAACATAAAAGAATTCCCATCAAAGGAAAATACACAGAATTATCATGGAAATTTGGGTCCTGATTTCAAAACGAACAATCCCAGCAACAACCTTCCTCAAAAAACAAAAAACCATTCCTGGTGAATATAGGAAAAGTACCAAAGATTATTAAAAATTTACCAAAAGTGTTTAAAGACGTAATAAATTTTTCTTTAAAGAAATCATTTTCTAATATCTGCTTAACATTTTCCTGATATTTTTCATCAACCAGAAGCAACAACGATGTGACTACGAAATCTCCAGCATTTGAGCGTGTTCTATAGACATCAAAAACTGACTTCAATAAATCATCACTCAATTTTACTTTTTTACCTGAAAATTGTAAGAATTCAGTGAGTTTTAAGATAACCAGAAAAAAAGGAATCATTAAACGAATTTAGAAAACTGTTTAAACCAATAAAAAAGATGGAAAAATAAAGCGATCTCACCATTACCAATATCATACAAAGCGACCATACTTCTCAACGCTAGTGAACGATTTGATGACTTCAGAGAAGCCTGAAGAAATTAACATCATTATATATACCCAAAAACTAACCGTTAACAGACTAACATTAAAAAGTGCGATGGAAAAAATCGAAAAAAAAGAACCATAAAGATTGGTTGCAACTTTTCATCCACATTTATAATTTGCGCTGACCATGCTAAAATCGTTTTCCACATAGCTTCCAAAACAGCCTGATGGACTGAAAATTGCTTAAGTAAATCTTAATTTTTCCTGGCAATATGAAGACCCACAGGTTTTCATTGTATGCAGCTTATAGAAGTATGAGAACAAACGCTTTACACTATAGACACACTGCACTGAACCATTATAAGTCCTGATTTTGCATACAATGCTCTCCTACGCATCATAAACAATAATAATTAAAAATAGCGATAAAGATAATCATAATAGTAATGACACATATCCAAAAACAATATGAATTAATTCGAATAAGGTAGCAAAAAAAGAGAAAACCTTCAGAAATCATTAACGCGTTCAATCTATGCAATATATCGGACGCAATAATATCGCACTCAGTTTTATCCTTCACTCCGTGGCAGCTCATCAATTTTAGAGTTTCCAGGACCGTGCTCCGTTGGCTAACAGTAGCAATTCTCCCGTCAGATCCTCAAACATTCATTCTTTCCTCCAAATTTTCAAGAGCGCAAATTTAAAGAACTCTCAGATTTTATGCAAGCTTATCATTTCCTTCCTTTTCACTTCTGCTAGTTTCTTGCCAGTCTTAATTTTAATTGAAGGACCAGAAATTTTCATATCCTTTTTTTTGAACAAATCTTTGAAGAAATATTTCAACCAACCTGAATAAGTTCCAAACACCCTATCAATCAATCCCTTCATAGCTTTAGGATCAGTGATTTTCCTTGCTATCGTTGCAACAGACAGTGAAGTATGGCTACGAATTTCATCAGCCGATGCAATTAACGACGCTGAAAAGAAATATAGGAAATGGCTTTCGTTAAAAAAAAAAAACAAGAAAAAAGTGTATATTTAAGCAGAACCGTTGATTTTGAGCAGCACTCACCCGATAAAATTTTATAGATATCAATTGCAAAAGATGACAAATCGATTGTTACCGATTCCAGAAGATATAAAATCCCTGAAACCAAGCATCATTTGTACATATCGCAATGAAACAAGCAATAAGAATTTAAACAAAAGTTATACCATTTTTTGAAAGCAGTATTAAAAACAAGAAAACCAGTGCGAAATATTCAAATTCGGTAAAAGAATTCAAATGTTTCTGATACTTGGTGCCATATTTGCAAAAAATTACTGGAACAGCAAGAAATAAAATCTAACCGAAAATTGCAATCTCAGGATTGCGTAACATGGATTTCTTAATAGCAAACGTAATTTCGTCTCGGAACATTTCCAAATTTATCTGCTTGAATATTTTGGAGCTAGTAACCTACAATAAACTGAATAAGAATGCTTCGGTTATCGTTAAAGAAAGAACATGCTGTTGAAGCATTTAATTCTGAACTGAAGGAGTTTGGATAAAAATGAGAACAGTATTCTATTAAAACAACCCTTTCCTTTCTAACCAGTGGAACAATATTTGTTATTTCTCTGAACTAGAATCTGTTTATTTTTGGGCACCAGTTTATTCATTTTTCCCTACTTCTAAGCCTTCTTTTTATATTAGTTTTTAGAATTTAGTAAATCACCGGGAACCAACAAAAATCGCACCACGACATGAATACTTGGACGATGCTTCACAAGAAGAATGTTTGCGGTGTATACTTCGATAAAAAATGAGAAATCAAAATGCTCGTCAGTGCAAGGTAATAGACTGAGAAGAGCAAGGATGTTTATTCCGGAAGACGACCGGGCTGTGTAATGATTGCGAATCCATTCCAAGGCTGTTTTCAGCAAGTCATGATTAAAGATAGTCTTCATCTTACTTTGAATTTTCACAACTTTTTTACTGGCACAAACATGTGACGCCGATGACAACAGTGCTGACATCTGAAAACAAATCGTGAATCGTTTTCAGATTACTGATATTTCTAAAGTAGTGTAAGTGAAATGCTGCGTAAATTGAAGTTTAATTTGTGATTAATCACTTTTTTTACACTATCTGAAATTTATGCGATATGTAAACTAACATAGCTAGTGAAGACATTGGCATCGTTTAAATCTATAAAATTACGAAGACTAAACAACCATTTGACAGCTAGAACTGAATTATCAGCTAACCATTTCCTGAAAATAAAAACTACAGAATTATTTTTCACACTTTAAAATCGAGAAAACTAAGGTTCGGAAAGTTCGGAATTGGAAAGTTTTTTCTTATAACTCACGAAGTTACTATATGGAGTTCGAAGAATGATGTATATGTTTCTGCGAGGTGTTTCATAGAAGTTACTGGATCTTCACGTACAAAAGCTGATATAACGAGATATAATGAAGCTTGTGAATGTCTATTTTTAAGTCGAGTAAAGCATGTTGTGATTGTTATTCGAATCAATGGTTTCCTTATTTGATCAGGAATATCTGCAAGAATAATTTACATAAAGCATTTGTGTTTTGAAAAACTAACTGCTGATACAAAGTTATTTCAAAAAAGAATTGATGAAGATCCACGGATATAAAAATCCACGGACATACCTGCAATGCTAGATAGTGCAGAAGTAAGCGATTGTGCAGCTATTTGGTGATGTTTCGGGCTTGAACTATTTAAACTCTCTATATATTTACGACCTGCAACTTTCAACTGTTCCACTAACCCCTGAAATTTGCAACAAAAAGAATTATTTTTTAAACTAACACGCGATTGCTTACATAATTGCTTAGAAATATGATTATATAATAGCTCACCAATCTATGTGCACGTTTGACTTTATAAGTAACGTTCAACCCTATTCTGGATCTTAAGAGAAATAGACATGAACCACCTCCAACACAACATATCTGCTGCTGAAGCGCTACGACCTGATGCTTCAAATAAGCTTACTGCTTCATTTCAGTAGACTTATCTCTGACTAAAAAAAAAGGCTAGTTTCAAATTTTTAGGCAGAATACGATAAAATAAAATATCACAAAAGCTGATAATGAAAAGCAATATTCTCGAAATTTCGAACTCTTCTAAAGACAGTAGGCATCGATCCTCTTCTCATTGGAATTGAAACTAGAAATTATACTTATTTTTTTCTCTTGACATTATATGAACAGTTGAAAAGCATATAAATGACTTTACCTGTGCGTCATTATTCATTGTTTCTATAGCCATTTCTACGGAAGCAAATGTGCTCCTAAAAAATACTATTCATTTACCACACTTAATTATTGTTTACTCGTACAAATATTTCCTTTACCTTTAAACATTTTCATGTCAACTAATTCCTTCTATTACTTCATTCATATCCAGAAATACGCTCACGCAAATTTTATAGCGCCATCTTTTCCCAGTTTCAAAACGTTTAGTTATATGATAGTCCTATCAGTGGGTTTATAATCAATTAGCGATCAGAAATGATTTGTTAGTGAAGTATTACTGAGCAAAAGATGAGTGGTAAATAATATTAAGAATGAGAAGGAGAAGTAGTGATCGGTAGAGTCATTTTATTTTTAAACTATATTCGAAATTGATTTTACAAAATTATTTTTAAGAAGTAAGATGATATAGGGAAATGCGGTGACAGGATCGTTGTGAGTTATTTCTGTTAAAGCTTTTAAATCAAATTAGATATTATTTGAAGTATGAAAGAAAATCGATCTTTGTTGTTATTTTATGTTTTTATCATGTTTCTCATATCATTTACATAATTGTGAGTGTTGTTGAATTTTGTTTACTGACTTGATGAGTGCGAATTGTATTTAATGTTCATGTGATCACTGGAACTGATCTGTAACGTTTTTGCAATTCAAGGTATTAATATTTGTATTCCGTTGGAAAATTTGCAGTTTAAAGTTGTTTAATAGTTGACTACTTGAGTTTAATTGAAGAATTTGCAGATGTTATAATGTGGCCGTCGCGTATGAATAGTCTAGTGATGATGTGGATAATTGTAAGTGTTCAATTATTGCAACGCAGTAATGGGGCCGCGGAGATGGATAATGAATTTGCAGAATTTGAAGATATGGAAGTGGAAGATATGAGTGATCAAGAAGTTACTTTGAAACCACATAGCGAAACTAACAAACCCACTGGCGACAAGTCAGCAGCCACTGTAATATCATGCCTTATATATTTATTTAAATTATCAGTGTCTCTGACCGAGAAATTCCATTACTTGGATTCCTTCAAAATTTTTCTATGCGTATTTAACAAACCTAATATCTGAAAGCAGTGACAAGCAACCCTTGGCAAACTTTTCTTTAAGTGTTGCCTATTATTGCTTTCAAATATTTTAATGTTTTTAACATTTTGCACCTAGTGTATTATAAATGATATTAAAATTTAGGATGATAGTGATGATGACGAGTTTATTGACGAAAATGAGTTTTCGAAGCCTATAAAGAAGATTCATCTGCAAAAGACTGAACCAGAAGCTTCGCCACAGCTCAGATTTGCCGATGTATGCAGCTTTCTTTTCTTTTTTTTCCACAATTTTATTCGGTATTATGCTATTCGAGCACAAAGTTTTTTGTATATACCAAGTTTTCAGTTCACATCAGGACTTAATGATGAATAGATATTTCTCTTTAGTCATTGTTATTCTACTTTATTAACAGCAGTTTAATTCAGGTACCGGCTCATTTTCGCTCGAATTGGGCATCTTATCAGGTGGAAGCTTTAATACTAGCAGTTCTAGCAGTTTATATGTTAAATTACATTTTCGGTCGTACCAAAAATCGAAATATTGCGAACAAATGGTTTATGGATGCAACTCCACTTCTGGAAGAACAATTTACACTTGTAGGAGATGATGGAACATCAGAGGGCTTAAGAGAAGGCCATATGCATAAAGAAACTGATTCTGTTTATGCTATTTGGTAGGTTTCCTGTGTTATTCTTTCTTTATTTTTCTAAGCACTGATCTTATTTATGTCTTTTGTATGGGGATTCATGTGACTTTTATAGTGCGGTTTCTTTCAGTAATATCGATTATCATTTGATCAAGAACTGCGTAGTTAATTAGTCAAAATTCTTCCCATTTTTTGGCATTGTATTCCTCAAAGGCATTGTAAGCCGCTAACTAGTTCATTTAATCCATCCGGTAGTTGGTAAAAACCACCGTCTGCAGTTTGCGTCTCACTGAAAGTTTGTTAGTCTATTTCATTGCTGCAGTCATTGAATTTCCAATAATACAGTAGGTGAAACGAAACGAGCTATTATTATAAATAGTGAGACACTTGTTAATATATTTTTCAGTTATATGGAAGGGAACTCTGATGTACTTCCAGGTGCTCAGGTCGAGTTGGTTGTCAGGGAATGTTAATTACTTTGGAACTGCTGAAACGGCAGGACTTAATCCATGTTCTCATCAATCTTATCCGTCCTAAGGAAGATAAGGTTATAATTGTTGCCATCTTATTGAGAAAATCAGTACTTGTTTATTTCTTATTAAAAAAGGAAAACATAGTTGCAGGTTATAATACGTATTGATGTGGACAGCAACGAAATGGATTCATTTGTGTTTGCTATTGGACAGCGAAAATCAGTGACCAAAGCAGCCAAAGAAAAGATGGATCTTGTAGGTTTTCCTTTATCTGGTCCTCTGTTTTTTGAAATTTCCATTTAATGAAAGTTATACTTCTGTGATACAAAGTATAAGTTTTCAGAGTTTGTTTACAGTGGAAAGAAAGGGAGTTGATAGGCTAGGACTTCCCTCCTCGATTGTAGTTTATGCGGAAATGTTTGAAGCTGTTAATGCAATTATCGACCCAGCGGTTTTATCAGTGCTTCGAAAATACGAAAGCTCAATCGACTACCTTCATTTTTCAGATCAATATTCTGGTTATAAACCTTCGGAGTGAGTTTCTCTCATTTCAGGAATCCATTTTGGAGAACATTTATTCTACTAGAACTACATCGCTCTCTAGTATCTTTTTTTTCCATGTTTGTTTTATCTGGTTTGATCCTACAATGATTTTGTTGTGGTGATATATCTATTTTGCTGTTAATACGTTTCATTCTTTGGAATAACGGAATTCCATCATGTGGATACCACATAGTAAAGCACAGGACCGACGCTTGTTATACTTCTCCCTATTTTTTTGTATATCGTTATCAAGAGCAAGCAAAATTGTCGGTTTTAAATTTCGCTGAACCAATCAGCGGAAAAATGGACATCACTATTTTCCGTTCAATTGGGTCAAAAATAAAACAAGCACACAATGAACATAAAGTGGCTAAAACTACTAGATTAATTCTTCGCCACATGAATATAAGAAAACCAGTAAATCGGAAGTACAAATCTTATGATAACATATTTTTAGTGGTGAATCATTTACACGGTTACCAGAAACGAGTCGAGTGCTGTTTTTCGCTTTCAAAATGAGTGATGACATCGCCGAAATTGATGCGCTGTTGAGAATGGTATTTTACAGTTTTGAAAAAATAAGGCGTTATCGACTTTCAAGAGAAGGCAAACTGAAGGTTCATAGTTTTTATTTCTTATTCATTGATGTTCTATTTGCTCATTTCAGAATTCATAGTTTTTATTTCTTATCCGTTGATTCTATTTGGTCATTTTAGAAACATATGTCCATATAGGTGTTTTATCAACTTTTCAGGCAGATAAAAAACGTCAAAGTGTGCAGGAAGTCTTCCTGAAAACAACACACCAAGCAAGACAAGAAGCGGCTCAAGCCCGTCGAGAGGAGAAAACAAGAGAACGCAAACAACGCCTTCTAGAAGAGGAGGATCCCGAAAAACAACGAAGGCTTGAGGTAGGTACTGGAATATCTAGTGGTTTTGTTTTTAATTCTTTTCTAAAATAACACTGAAAGACTTTGATTGTGCATTAGCTAAGTGTTGCTTTTATTTCAAATTTTATTTCTTGCAGAAACTAGAACAGAAACGTGATATGAAAATGCGACAACCAAAAATGAAACAATTGAAAGTGAAATGAAGAAGCAAACTCTATTCAAATCACTTACCAGAAAAAGATGAGAAAAATGAAATAACATCTGATAACGTCTTTGTTTGCGGGTGCCATTGTTTTACTTTTTAACTTTGCTAATTAGGTAATTTTGCTAATTACATAATTATTTTAAACATGAATAAACGGAAAAGAGAAGAATTTTAAAATGCTGATTGTCCAAGTTGCAGATAGTACGCATTGATAGATAGTGCAAAAATCTGCTCACACTGCTAATAAAAATTAGGATAATTCGTTGTTATCAATTTGTTCCATGCTAAACTTTTTGATTTTGGGTTAAGCAAGCCAACCAAATGACATGTTTTGCATTTATAAGTCATAACTATAATAAACAGTAAGAAATATATGTAATATTGATTTACTAGTAGTCTATTACTGAGAGAGGTTCATGCTTTCTCTTCTAAATTTCTTGATATATCCAAATACCTGAGGAATGCAAGTTTTTAATATTTCAATATTTTTGATATAATCAAAAATGTTATCATCAAAAGGGCTTAGTATAAACAGCTTGCACGAATACTCGGTTAACTGAAACATCTTTTTGATGGTTGATGGTTTTTCGTAATAGATATATACTTATTACTTTGTGAAAACCTTGTTGGGTGAACAGCTTGTCCAGTTCTTCTGAAAGCAAAGACTTTTTGAATTGGTTCGTCATAATAGTTGAGATTTAAAAAAAATCCTAATAGGTAAGTATGTGGATAACTTGCGGGAAACTGCACCTAATTTGAAATAGTAAGTCATTGTTCCATCCTGTTTTGCATAAAACCGCTCATCCAATTTGCATTCTCGCCCAAATCGAAGCATAGCGTGGTCGTTGATGCCGTAATCACGAAGAAACACTATACCTCCAATTTTCGCTAAATTGAATAAGTTCTTCACTGCTTGTTGCTGCTTATAAGGTGGGATTGTACTGAGAACAAAAATTAATGATATTATATCAGCTGCTGGAAAGTCTAGAGAAAAGCCGTCGCATGTCAAATCTGCAACTGCAGTCCTGATTAACAGATTGCTCGTTTTACTACGTTCACGTAGTAGCCGAATGGCGTTATCGGAGAAGTCAAAAGCGTAGAAATTCCAGTGCGGATAAAGATGCATCAGAGGGAAAAGTAGATTGCCAACACCACATCCAGCTTCCAGAAAATTCAGGTTATCCTGCAAAAAGCAACCGAAATTACTGAGGAAGAGGAACGACATCAAACAAGCCAATGCATAACTTTTTTCTTAGTTTAGAAGCTATTATTGGTAAAATTATGTTATTTGCTATCGATTACCACTGTCTACTTGCAACGACACAATGAAGCTATAAGTTTATTTGTCACCGATTCACTTATCTCACCAGATATGTCGGTTTATTACTAATTCAATCTTGTATTTATGTATAATCATGATAATTTTTGGGACACATGATTATAGGTGTGCGGGCGCAAGTGATTATAAAAAATGGATACAAATTGATCAACCTCTAAATTGACGTGCTGCTTCAACAATCCATCAAGTTCGTGCTGTGTCCACCATCTGTCTTTGAAGAAATTACTCTTATTTCGCAAATAAAATTTATCCCAGTTTTTTCGCAACTCTTCTTGCAGCTTTATCCGTTTGAAGTTACTCGCTGGCACTTGCTTTTGCACTATTTCTTCCTGTTCTTCATTGAGTTTTGGAGCTGATGAACATGTTTCCGCCTGTGAAAAGCTGACCGAATACTCATGCTTATTGGAACAACTTGCAATCGACACATTCATCTCACTGTGTCAAAGCAATTAGACCAACGCTCAGAAACCTTAGAATGACCTGGAAAATTATGCAAATGAATCCCAAATAAATCCAACAAGTGGATTCATTTGCAACAGCAGCCTTCTAAGCAATCACAACAGCATTCATTATATTTACCGAGGTATAATTATTTTAATATATCAATTTTTTTAAGATCATGCACGATGGTGATTTAGAAAAAAAATTCGTAGATCACAAATTTTAAATTTTGATAATTAACATTAGCAATTGATATCATTACAAATTTCGAGCAGGATACTGCCAATTTCACGGCCTACCGATCAGTAGTGATATCAAATCATATGGAGCATACAACTACTTTAGAAATCTCTTGCAACGAAAGCTTGTTAGCACTCGCGACTGTTAAAGTTAACTCCACTAACAGTTATTTTTCTCATTACAAAAATATCAGCTGAATAACTATTTCATTTCTTAATTAACCTCAAAAAGCAGAATGAAAAGTCAATCTATTGCAGTAAAAGACGGTAATTTGTGAACAACGCTGTACTTATAACGCAAACAACATATATAAACACAATAGAATTTATACAAACGATTCAGAAAAAATACTCTCATGTCCATCAGTGAGGAGTTTCAATTGTAATCTATTTACTTTCTACTCGTAAATCAATCCACCCACTTTCTCGAGATAAAAGTTAACAGGAAACAGACATGGCAGTACTTGCCCATCGGCCCTACAGATATTCACAAACAAAAAGAATTTAAATTCAAGTTGAAACAAACTTACAAAGCATTATTTCTAGCAAAAAAATATGCTAGGTTACAAAAGTCACAAAATATAAATTATAAGTTATATTGGGTACAACAAATACATTTTCACTTCACAGTTTTCAACCGTAAATTGTCATTGAAATAAAGAACAAATAAATTAAAACAGTTATGAGGATAATTCTTCGCAAAACAATCAGTCAAACAGTAAAATTAAAGGAAAATTCACGCCAGATAACAAACAGCATTTTTAAAACTTATAGACCGACGAAATTAACTACTTTTCAGATACATAACTTGTCATCAAATTAAACAAAATAGTCAAAAAAGTTACTGAAAGTCAATTGTTTTTAATGCCTAACGTGCTCTCCAATTCAGCTCGTTTTTGTTGCACTTTGTGATAGATGTAACGGAAAGTACCCTCCATAATTTGGGGCTGATAATAGTACTCCGCATGACGTTCAGCTTCGCTGTCACCAAATACTTCTGTCATCGTCTAAAAAAAGCATGTAATGAATATTACTGAAAAGAAGTATCTCTTTATTATCATTAAGTTACTGTATTGGAAACAGCCAAGCCAATAATTTTTTTTTCATATTTATCAAGATCTTCCACTGCTTTTCTAACAGCTTACGTGCTGATTTCACAAATCATGGAATCAGAACCAGAAAAGAACAACTTCAAGGAAGATTTAAGACGATAAAATGGTCGTAAGTTAAGACGAAGTAGAGTTACCATTTCTTGATGCGCACTGTACTAATTACACCGAGCTTCTAATAATTTTGTAATTCAAACACTTGAAATAAAATGTCATAGATACTTGCAATCGCAACATCAACGTAACAAATATCGTACCTTCAGGTCATTACTTTGAGAAATCAACCATTTGTGAATAAATTCCTGTGGATTGTCCGCGAAACGAACATAAAAATCTCGTCGAAGCTTCCATTCATTAATCTGTTCCACGATATCAAAAATTTTCTGATCAAGTGCGCTTATATCAGGCATATTAGCGTGGCTATGAAGAAATGAAGTCATCTGTGTTTTTAGCGGGTCTTCCATTTCCACATCTATAATCAAAATTATATCTTTCACCTCTGTTAACTTATATTCTTCACTTCTTTGCTTCTTTAAATCCATAAAAAAAATCACTTAAAAACTTGGAATTTCTCCAAAAAATTAATAAGGGAACAACCTCAGCATTTCGCTATTAATAATATTAACGAATAATGATAATAGTCATATAGCCTGTTTGATAAAATCACTAAACTAAACGACATGAAAACGTGAGAAAAATTACCAATATCATAGCATGCCGTATTCTTCTCATTCCCTTCGCTATATTGAATAGTATGATGCAGAATCAGAGGATCTGGTTGATGCAATAAGCCTTGAAGGCGCTGAGGTATTTCCATAAAACGCATCCTTTTTACTCCAAAAATTTGTTCTAGGTAAGAGTCACAATTTATGTTATCGCGTTCAGCCTGATCCTGTAAATATTCTGATTTCTTGCGAAGTTCTATATAAGTATTATACACGCAATAACAGATAAGTAATGAAGTTTGAAGATTCAGTATGAAGTATTAATTGAAGGATCAAAAATGGCTTAGGAAATTTATACCTGTAGTTTGTGTGTTTTTATGTACTGCCAAAGAGCTTCAATAATTTTAGGACGTGTTTCCGTAGCCATTCCAAGAACTTTTCCTAATCGTGGATGCAATTTAAATTTCATTGGTTGGTAATCAAGTAGTAAAAGGATAGTACATTTGACATCTCGATCTCCAGGTCTTTTCACCTAAAATAATGAATCAAAAATAAATACACGAATATCAAACATCTAAGACAAGTTGTGCTCCCTAATGCTCTGATGTAACCCCAAAAAAAATTGATGACGATATTAGAAAAACCTGAAATCCATCAGTTTCATTCGTTTGAGGAGTTCGATGCCATTCAACAAGATGATTGTCAGGTCCATAAATTTCTTTGTCCAATTCGATGACTAAGCTTTTAAAAAAGGAACTGAATTTCCGTTTCAGTGGTTGATTTCGATTTTGAGCAGTTCCACCACCTGTGGTACCCACGCCAGTCGATGGTTCATCCAACAAACGTCCCTCGACTCGTAATTCCCACATTGGTACAGTGCCTTCATCACCCTCTCTCTACAAATTATTAACATAAAAACTTGGTTTTACACAGTGAAAAAAAATTTTCAGAATAACTGCTTTCGTAATACAACTGTAGCTTAATAGAAAGTACATTACAGTCATTTGATGCAAGAAAACTATAACAAATTCTGCATAATTTAAGCTTATGATGTCGTTATTTATTTGAACCTTTAAAATGGAAATATTTATACAAGCCTCAGGTTCCTTGCCAGGTATGAATGTATGTGAAATGTATATTCGAAGCCGCCTTTTCACTTTTATTGGTCTTTTTAAGGCTTCTTGTATATCCAGCTTCTTCCTTGTGATGGTAGCGTCAAGCTTTTGTTCAAAAGCTAGAAGATCCATGTACGCTTGGGATTCTGGTACAAGCTCCCGAACCTTAAAAAAAATCAAAAGATAGAAATTAAATTCATTTCAGCGATCTCTTTTCTGTCAGGAAAGTAAATTCAATCGATCCATAAAACTGAAGCAACTTTGATAGCTCTCTACAAAATTTGAGAGAGTTTGTTTTCAAAGCATTGTGACCAAGGTAAGGAAATTAAATCATACTGACATCATTAATACCTTCCAAGTTTTTCACCTGGAACAAACTTTTAAAATGGATATTTTCCGATCAATAATAACCAGACATGTTTGTCATTTTTTCCCTTCACTACTTTTAAAATGAATGTTTGAAATAAATATTTGAAGGAAGGAATTCAAAGCGTTAATAAAACCAATAAGAGCTCGAATTTCTACCATAGAACCTGAAATATTGTGAAAACAAAATCTCCGAAACATTTTGCAAAAAATTTGCTTTCAGTTTAATTATATGAGCTATAGAGACAAAAGTAAAGTATCGTATATCACCTGTATGGGTAACAGCTTGTCAACCAATTTTCGTTTCTTTGCACGATTTTGTACCTGACTGCGAGTATTATGCTGTGGTGGAAGCATCGGTGGAGCACTCGGAGGTTGCGGAGCAAATGACCGCCGACCGTGTTGTGCACTTGGTACTGTACCACCATATCTAAGCAACAGGAAGGATGGTAAACATTATGGTACCTAATTTCAGATTTCTCTTAATAATTTTATGATTACAATAAACAAAAATTATCAATCATGCATAAAGGCCGCATAAGCTTGGAGAGGTTGTTTTTCCATAAGTCCGGAAGAGCTCATCAGTTCAATGGAGGCCATAATATGTGAAATAAGGTTGAGAATTCAAACTATCACGAAATAGCAAAATTGTTGCTAAATCATTTATCAGTGTTAACTAGCGCTAAGAAATAATGATAAAGTATACATTCTAATGTGCTATAAAGTGCCCCTAAAAATTCGAGGTTCCCACTTTTTTAATGCTTCAATTATTACACTTTTTCAGCAATATTTTCGAAGCTGCATGTTAAGTTCCTAGAAAGACATAAAACTAGAACTAAAGAGGAAAAGCATAGAAATCGTATTTCACTTATGATTTCGTACAAGCGTAAGTCATGCAAACTGCAAAGCAACAGAACACACTACACTTTAATATCATTAAAAAATGAATGATGAATTACCAACAGATAAGTACATACTTTCATCAAAAAAATTACCTTATATTAGAACCGTTATTGGATGGTACTGTTGTACTACCTCGGTGCATTCCTGCAACACTTAAATGCGTATCACAATGCCGGAGAGTGAACACTAAAACATCCAATCGACACTACCACCCACACTATCATCACATTTCCATCACCTTGACTGATGTGGTTTTATTTCATGTGAAACCGTTGAGTATCATTGGTCAGTGTTGGCAAGATGTGGTACCGATCTACTGGACGGACGGTATGGAAAAGGAATAGGGTAAGGGGCATATTTTAGAATAGCTAAAAGTGACATGTTTATAAATAACAAAATTTACAGATTTCTGATTTTGATGTTTAGAAATTGTTCAAAATCTATTGTAAAAAATTGCTCAAAATCTATTATATACCAGGTGACGAATATTCTGTTAAAGAAATTCTCAGGAAGTATTTCCAGAGGTTGGCTATTGAGATATACGGATTTTCTCGACAAGAACTTCCCATCTTTTCAGGTACTTTAATCTATAATGCGCCACAGGGTGCTATATCAAATATCGCGCTTCCATTCATTGTTGGCAGCTAGTAGTGAACGTTCGAGTGTTTGGGATATATTTGCATCGATTGCCCTTGTGAGGCCGCCTATTATTGCACCACCAATGAATGATATCGAAAAACGTTATAGCGATTTCATGCTTCAAAGAGAATTGGAAGATTCACTACGATGTGATTTCGAATTGCGACAGCTAAGGGATGAACGGTATTTCTTTGTTACCGTTTATTTGGCTTAATTTATTTTTCAACTTGTCTTTGTGTCTTAATTTCTAAACTCTCGGTTATGTTTCTCTCTTCATATAATTTCTTTTTTTATTTTGTTTTAGGCTTCTTAAAGAAAGAGAAAGATTAAAAATGGCTGGTGAGGAAGCTAATTTACAAGAAGAAATAGGAATCCTTGCTTCCGTTGACGAAGAAAACTGGCGGAGGCAAGCGGATCGAATTCGCAAAGAACTTGCAATTGGAGACCTCACTAAGGTGATACGTTATTTAAAGCATACTATTTTCAGTATTTTTAATGGAGATCAAAAATATGTTAATTACATGACTTGACCACATGTTCAGTTCAGGACTGTGATAAACAGTCTCGAATTGAACAGAAACAATAGACGTGATGTAATGACATTTCGAACTTCAAGTGCGAAGTAGTGTATGTGATTGCATTATGTCTGAACATCTCAAACTCACTGGATAATCACCATATAGTATTTATTTTTGTACGCTTGATTAAGTTGAAAAAAACTAATTTCGCTGCATGCCATGTTTTACTACAATTGTCTCGAAAATGATAAGTTCGCGATAGTTAATGTATAACTATATGATAAACATATTTGCATTACCTGATTTGTGTCGTTTTTGCAGTTTTCAAAAGCTGATAGTAGAAGTTTACAAAGGAAAATTGATGAATTTCTTGTACTTATTGTATGTCAGAAATTTGGACGGAAGGATGGCTATCATTCTCCGTGGCATCTACCTCAGTTACGAAATCTCCCAGGCGAATCACTAAAGCAGGTAAGAATTATTAACAAGTTGATTCCATTTTTTTCTATATTTCCTCATTTTTAGTGATTTTTAGTGTTTAATACATCATTAATGCTAATATATTTTTCATTTTCTATCAGTTATGAATATATTAATTAGTCGGTAAAAATGAATATATCAATACAGGACTACCGTTAAATTTTAAAAATAAAAATAAACTTTGTTGTGAAAGATAAAAGATTTATCTGCAGACTTCGGAGCGTTGTCTGAAGGAATTATTTACCACTGAAGTGCATGGAAAAGGAATAAGCAATGCACCGTTCTCCGTTTATTTTTATTCCTATCCTGCTCAACTACGACAGCGGTTAAAAACACAATCACGAGGTGCTGCGGTAAGTTGATTTATTATTACGGATATTTTATAGTATTTAATTATTCAAGGAAGATACTATATAGAGTTCCTTTGTCCTAATATCGCAGTTGTGATTATTTTAACCAAGCAGATTCAATTGCAGAAAATAATTGCGCCTGTTAGCTTTTGTACTCAAGATAAAATTTCTTTTTGTAGAGCATGAATTATTTACCAAAAAATTTTCTCAGTTTATAAAATCAACTGATTTTGTTTACAGGTCTTTTTCTTTAAAGCACTGTATCCGAATCGTGTTCCGCCGATGGTCAATAAAGATGAAGTTGCGGATTATAAATGGGTCAGTGCAGAAGAATTTGCTGCAATCATGATACATAAGACGTCGTATCTTCGAGCTGTGTCAACTCTTTTCCCTTCCTATCTTTTGACGAAAAATAGCCTTGAATATGCTAAAGAAACAGAATCTCAGAAAAATCGATCGAAAATAGAAGTACAGGTGCAGTCGTGTTAGCCTTATAAACTTAGTTTCCGATTAAATGATATATTTGCGTTGTTTTGGAAAGATTTTCAATACTGTATACAAGATTTCTTGAATGCTGTGGAACTTTTTAGTTCTTCCGAATGATTAGAAAAATATGAGGTTCGAGAAATTTTTGATATCCCACTTAATTGTGCCTCATTTATAGCATATAGGTTTTTAGTCAGTGAGGTAGCATCTATAGCTCGAAAGCAGTAATTAAATTTTCAAATACAAAGCCAATTCAAGGAAAATCTCTTCATATTCCATGTATATGCTACAAAACTATGATAATAACTGTATTAATAAATGATATTCACACTGTTTCAATTAGATGATATATTTTTTGTAACAGAACCTGAAACAATGAAGACAATTTCATAAAACAAGTTAATTATTGATCTTGCTAACAAGAAGTGATATCGGTAATTGTAGAGCAAAGCCGGAAGAAAGCAACGCAGCCACTTGACTCAGCTAAATAGCTGTTACAGTTATTTACCCATGCCTTGAATTCCTCATTGATATTTTTATGAAATCACGGAATTTTACAAGGTACGGTGATAAAGTTGCTAAAGTTGTTAAAGTAAATAAAGATGACATTGTGGCCAACAGTATTAAAAAAAAACATTGAGGCTAGACGAAAAGAGTAATCTAGCAATCCTTAGATTCAGAACAATTAGGATTTCAAATTCAGGACCCAGCATTAAATATATTTCAGTATATCTTGAAAACGACCATACATCAACTTTAGAGCAGTCTTTCTGTTTTGGTTAGAATGTTCATAAACTGTTCATTCAAGTCCTTATCCTAACGATAAAATGCTAGTCCGATCTATGTAATAAATTGAAAAATTGCTACAGTCAGTTCACATGAATCATAACAATAATTGTTCAAATTATTCATGAATTACTGTTAGCTAAACCAATCGAACAATTAATTAAATGACATAATTTATTAAGCAACTTTTATTTTTACTCGAAAATAAAAGTTCTAGGTGGTGTACAATTTAGCAAATGTGTTGCAATCAATAATTAAGCAATCTTACAGATCTCATTTATTTCCATTTCATCTATTTTGCATGAATTTATAATATTAGCATATATTTTATTAGTTATATTAAAAAAAAAAAAAATGTAACTCATAATAAATTCTTTAATCGAGCTAATTATTTTAATTAAAACAAAGTTATTTTATTATTTCTCCTCATCTTTATCATTTCACGATATCGTTCTTTCTCAAGTTCAATTTCTTTTTGGATACGTTGCATTGCCATATTCTTTTCATTCTTTTTTCGTCGTATTGAACCAAGCCTGAATGAACTTGTGACCCAATCTGGTTGATGCTCCCCTTCAGATAGATCATATTCATCTTCTTTCTCCTCATCCTTCATCTCCTCCTTCTCATTCTTATTCTTACGTGAGAGCAAAGTTCGTATTGGCGTTTGTTTCGTATTTAGTGTAACATTTGCTTTAAGTAAATTTTGTTAATGAGTTAATTGGTATTAAAAAATAACTTTGTCCATCTTGATATGATATGAATTTGAAATTTTATACGGAATTAAACTTTATTATATTCTACATCTTCCATCTGTTTAAATGATTGAAAACGAAAAATGAAATCTAAATTTATTGAATGAAATTTTGTTGATTGTTATGTTTATTTTAATGATATTATCATAGAGTTATCCTGGATGAGAAAAAAATTTCATTTCTCAGAAGTTGCGAAATTTGATTTGAATTTTAATTGCTACAATTTTGCTATCTAATTGCTAGGTTTAAAAATGCGGAAAATTATAAGAGGAATATTAGTGCTAAATTAAGAGATGAATTTATCAAATATGCATACCGGCAATTTTCAGAGGCGTAGATTGTTGGGAATGAAATGGAAGTTTTGATGTAACATTGTTGACAGAATTGTCCTTTTCATTTCCATTAATTATACATCTTTTTTGGCGATCGTATTTGCTTCTGGCCATTCTTCGGCTAATTTGCCCATTGTCTTAAATTCATTTATAGACAGTGAAGGCATACTAATTAATTAATTAAATTCATTCATTCATTCATTTATGATAAAACAATGAAGTGAGAAAAAGAAACTTATTTGTTGTTAAAATATATGAATAAACATTATTTATTGTTATTCATATAACATCCTGAATTTCTTTATTTCTTTGAGTGAAGAAGTTTGAAAAGTTTCGAGAAAAATCAATAATTTCAAGCTTACAAATTTATTGCTTCTTTTTCTCTCATTATTTATGCCCAAAGAACTGTTAAGAATTAATTCTATTCAAACAGAATCATACGAAATTACTATTACATTTGATTTAATGATATTTATATTATCAGCCTAATAGCTCCTAATTCCTGAGAGCTCTCATATTTTCCTTCCATTTATTTTTCTTATTTTATTGATTGAAAAAATTAAGCATCACTTAATTACTGGAAATTTTTTGGAAGTAATAAAAATTGTGAGAAAAAATTTGAACCATTTGAAAGCTTGTCGTATGAAAGAGTTGTCGTTGATGGATCTATGATTTGTGTATTTTTATTGACTTTAATGTCGCATATTTGTCGTTTCACATTGTCATCATTATTAGTGAGAGAATATTCTGAATAGAACAAAAATTTATAACTAACATTAATTAATCTATTATTTTCTATTATCTTTTAGATTTCTACAAAGCAAATTATATTATCTTATTGAGGCATTGATATTATCGTGATAAGTGCAAAATTATCATGATAAGTGCAAACTAAACAATGCTATCATGATAAGTGCAAAAATAAACAATGCTACATAATAAGTGCAAAATTATCATGATAAGTGCAAAATTATCGTGATAAGTGCAAAATAAACAATGCTATCATGATAAGTGCAAAATGAACAATGCTTTTTAACGAAAAGAAAATAACCGGTATTAGAAGAAAGTGTTTCAGTGCTGTTCGATGAAGAAATTAAAGTTGGCTTTCCCTCAAAAACATTACGAACAATTGTTGCTTGATAATAAGTTTCCCGTGGCATATCTTCTCGTTCTTTTTTGATTGTATAACTTTCTGAAATTATAATTTCTGGCAGTAATCATTTTAATGATATGTTTGTTACAGAAAGAGAACGAAAGAATGAGTGAAAGTGAAATGAATTAAATGAAAAGTTTCTTTTTGCATAATTTAATTAGCATTACTTACCTGTCCGATATGATTACAGTATATTATTTAATTTTATCCTCATCATATTTGCTGAAAGATAATTTTTCCAATTCAAAACTTTAGCAATTAGAAGCCAAATATGTCATTAAATTTTGTTTATGAATTATGTATGCCTCAGCATAATTATTATAAATTCTAATAGTAAAACAAAAAGTGAAAAAAAAAATAAAATAAAAGACAATGCCGATATCATTCAATCAATTTGCATAAAATTTGAAGAGTACTGTAATATCAAATACATATACTTTTAATTTGCTAGCATTTCTTGTAGGATTGATTTAAAGAGATGAATTAACACTTTACTAAATCGATAGAAATTCATTTAATTATACTATCAGATAAGTTAAACATAAAAGCGTAATTTAACTTGTAATTCTTATTTTTCGATAATGATAGAAATTTTTCCGTATTTTCCGGAATGATATAAATCTGATCTGTTCTAAGATAGAAATATTTACGATGGCTGTCCGGTTCTGTTTGCTTATTAATAGTCGTTTTATTCTGAATATGATCATCATCATCATCGTATTTGTCTTGGCTTTCGGATATTGGCGCTGTTTGTTCAATATTCTTGCCACCTTTATATTTCACAGTTTTTTTCAATTTCTCATTTTCATATTGCTCTTCGATCATTTCCATGGATTTTTCAGATGCTTTATCTTAAAATTACTTGACAGATTAAATGAGAATATTTCTTAAGAAGCTAAATTTAATTTAAATATTGTAAGAATTTAAAAATTCATTTCACATTTGCTAATAAATAAATACAACCGAACAAAAAAATTTGTAAAAATTGAAAGGTATAAAAGTATATAGGATGAAAAAATAATATACTAAATGCGCTTGGCGCATTTGTAAACCAGTATTTATCATTTGAATTCCGGAAATCTTGATATATTTTATATTATATAATTGTATCCTCTAATATTTGCAATATCACTGATATCTGTCATAACAAATTCATTTATATATGTTATTGTTTTAGTGTTATAATAATATAAAATTCCATTTCATATAATAATAAAACAATAGAAAATAATAAAACAATCCTTACTGAATAAAATAAAATGAATTAAAATTTCATTACTATTTGTAATTGAAATAAATTCTAAGTTTGAATAAAGTAAATTGAAAAATGAAACAATAAACTTAAATGAGTATAAATTTATCATGAAAATGTTGGAAGAGATAAATTGTTTTTAATATATCACATCCATTTATGGTTTGAATATTCGTTTATGGTTTTGATGGATAGATAAGAATGGCTTTTTAAAAGATAACAGTATTCGTTATGATATCATTTCAAAGAACAAAAAGTAACAAATCATGTAGTACAACATCTTACTTACTCATTTATTTACTTGCTGATTTACTTACTGACTTAGTTACTTACTTACTTATTTACATACATACTTACTTACTTATTGATTATCACTAATTCTCTCAAGGAAATATCATTGTTAATAACAATCATTCATTACTTCACAATTCATTCGTATCTTCTAAATTCACTAATAATTAATCTTTTTGTTTCACTTTTTTCCTTTTTTCATCTTTTTAAAATTTCCTCATCCATAAGCAATTTATTTAGTCAAAACCTTAGCTTCAATCTAAATTTCAAATTAATTCTGTAAATAGAACTGTTGAAAATTTACATACTGTAGGAAGTACCATTTGATGAAGTACCATGCTTCCGTGTATTTTCACCATTAGAAGCTACATTTTGATGTTGTTGTTGATGCATTCCAATTATTCTCTCATATTCTTCAATTGTTTCTCCTTCAATAAAAAATGGTAAAACTGAACTGAAATAAACTGCTCGTCAAATTTGTTAATCAAAGAAATGAAATTTTAGTAAAGAAAAAAGCACCCTTTTAATTTTATCAATTTGATTAGAATTTTCTTTAAATTTTAAAATTTCGTCCAAATTAGCTATGGTTATTAATTAATTAATTAATTTTCAATTAATTTTATTAATTAAAATAAATTAGTTTAATTAAAAATATTAATTAAAATAATGAAAGGATTTAATCGTTATTAATAGTTATTAGTTAAAAGTTATTAGTAGTTAAAAATAATAGTTAAAAAAAATAATTATTAATTAAAAATAATAAAAAACGATTTAATCATAAAAAGAAAGATTTGTAAAGTTAACTTTAAATGTTTAACATTTCTTTCATAATAATAATAATATTATAATTTCTATGCAAAATCTAAGCATAGAAAAAAGGACAATCGTAGTAAAAATTGAAAACTTATGAGATGCGAAATAGTCTAAATTGCGCCATAAAAGAAGATCGCCGATTCTATCATTGTTACATAATTATCAGTCAATCTACTGCAATACAGTATTTACCACAAAAGTTTTTCAATTTTCTAGCAAAGTCTTCTTCAGCAAATCTATCTTACTTAAAAATATTTTATGATCGATTGATAGGATATTTAAGAGAATATAGCGAATGTTTTAAAATTTTACTTTTAATTTTTATTATCGGTAAAATGGTGGAGGGGAAGGGGGAAAATAATTTCGAATAAAATTTCCATGAATTATTTAACAGCTATCCATATGCATTCGTTAGGGAAAATATCTTTCAAATAAGTATTTGTAAGAGAAAATTTACTGAAAGTGGCAGATGCGGTAGGTGATTTATATGGAATTTGTTGTTGCAATAATTTTCGATTTGCTTCCACACGTTTAGCATTTGCTGCTGTCCAATTATCAATCTTTACTGGCGTTGATATTTCAAATTTTGATTCTAAACAGATAATTATAAGACAATTTTATTTCTAATGGATAAAATAGAAATAATTTACGATAAGATTTTTACAACATTTTTTCGTTTCTTTTTTTTCGATATGATATTCTACAACATTTTTTCATTTTTTGATATATGATAAGATTTCTACAACATTTAATAGTATTTTATGATTATGAAGATACTGTAAATTTTAATGGACTTCAGATTGAAAAATCTATTTTGCATTTAACAAATTTAACAATTCCTCATTTCAATAATTGCTGGTCAATTCGTATTTTCTGAATTTACTTTAAATTAGCCACTTAATTACTATTAATTATAATTATAGTTCTAAATAGTATTTTATGATTATGAAGATACTGTAAATTTTAATGGACCATCAGATTGAAAAATCTATTTTGCAATTAACAAATTTAACAATTCGTCATTTCAGTAATTGCTGGTCAATTCGTATTTTCTGAATTCATTTCAAATTAGCGATTTAATTACTATTAATTATAATTATAGTTCTAAATAGTATTTTATGATTATTAAGATACTGTAAATTTTAATGGGCCATTAAATTGAAAAATCTATTTTGCAATTAACAAATTTAACAATTCGCCATTTCAATAGTTGCTGGTCAATTCGTATTTTCTGAATTTATTTTAAATTAGTCATTTAATTACTATTAATTATAATTTCGGTTCTATGCTATTATTTTTTTGAATTTTTATTTTCTTGCAAAATTTATTTGAAAAGCTTTACCAGGTTGTTTATTGTTATTTTGAGTGAAATGACGTCTGATAATCCAGGTAGGATGAATGGCATCTGTCAGTAGTGATAAGCTGCTATCCTTTGTTGCATTGCAGCGTAGAATTTTCTGAAACATTTCATTAAAACTTCATTCAATCCATATTCATAGAATAAATTAAGTTAAATTTAAATTAAATAAATTAAATTAAATTTGCTATTTTGATATTGGAATATATTAATTGTAAATTTGTATTATATTTTATTTATATATAAATATTATATATGAATATATCATTGCATTATATATAAATATATATATCATTGTAACACTCATTTGATTATGTATTGATTAAATTAGGGGAATATAATCCGACAGAAACTAATTTGAATAAATTTTTTTATTTCAATTAAGAACGAATTCGCATGGAAGCGAAAGCAACTCGCAATATTAGCAACATATTTCAGAATTGTTCAAACTTGAAGCCTTAAAGAGAAAAAGAAAAAAGATGCAGAAAATACTTTTAAAGGTTTGTAAAATCCTGAAATACGGATTTCTACGCTACGAAATAAATAACCTTATTTCTTGCTGTCAAAGCACATTAATTATTACAGTCGTTATTTTAATTAAAAGCATATACTCAACTCTACTTGCTTATCATGATCTTAAATTGTGGAGTTATATCAAAAAAGTAATTATATCAATTTTGAAAATTCAAAGTTGAAAATATGTTCAATAAACCTCTTTTCCTTTCATCTCTATTTACTATATTACTCGTTTAAAGCAAAAGATAACCTGAATATCCGCGATCGAGGATTTCTGAATTGACATAGTGGTTTGAAGTTTGATCGGTTTTTGAATTATAAATGTTTCATCCTTCAGAATTCTGCAAAAAATCTAATCACTGAGCAGAATTATGATATTTATAATTTGTAAATTGTTTAGTAAACTGAATTGCAATCTCAGATTCTTATTTTTTCATAAACGTTAGAGCAAATTATCTGAATAATATTTCTAAATTTAATCATTTTCTCTCAATGTACTATTAATTACAATTAAAAAATAATTATAATTAATGGTAATTAATGAGCAATTATTATGATAATACATTCTACCCAATCATAATTGCTTATTAATTACTATTAATTATAATTAAAAAATAATTCATAATCAATTTATAAGAAAATCAATAAGGATAAATGAAATATTCAGGATACAACAATATCCACAAATTAATTCCTTTTTATTTAGGCTCTCATTCCAACTTATCATTTTGATAATGTTTTTCAGAGGAGAAAAGTTAGTTGTTTATTACAGTAATGATAAAAGTACGTCGGGTAGAATAGAAATCGGTAAAAATTATCATTTTCATATATTTCTACAATTTTAAATTTCTTCAAAGCCATTCTTTACACTTGTTAAAATAATATTTCGTTCAATAACAACAATATGACTCATTCCAAATTTTCTGTTATCGTTCGATTTGAAATCAGAAGACCTGAATTGTGCTGTTGGAACAATTTCGAGATTTGATTGTAAATGATCCGTTGCTTTCATATTGCTCAAATTTCGTCCATTGTCAGCTACAAAAAAAATTAAAATTAAACGTTGTTGTTTTGTTTTAATTTTTTTGTAGCAAGTCTGTTATGTATGCCGAAATAGAAAAGCTATTTCACTGTAAGCGATTTTTGTACCAAACGTTATGTCAGTTTGTCTGGTCGTAAGTTAGCAATATTATTTTTAGCATTTTACATTTTAGATTTATTTTTTACATTTTACATTTTGCATTTTAAATTTAGCATTTAACATTTTACATTTTATATTTTTGCATTTTAGCTTTAACTTAACTATTTCAATGTATCTTCCAAAATTTGCATTGAAATCTAATTTACAAATTATTTAAGATTCAGTTTTACTTCAATTTTAAAATTAATAAAAATGATTTCGAAATATTGCCACCGTGAATTAATTCTTCTTCCTTATTTTTCATCATTGTCGTTGTTTCGTTGAAGTTCATTTCGGAACGGTTTACTTCTTTTATGATATACATTCTTGTTGATGATATCGTTGGTGCAGTCGAATAATTCGTTGCTTCTATTATATCAGATAAATTCGATGCCATATGATACCAAGTATTATCGTTGTTTCTAACGAAAGTCTGAATTTATCATAATTTTTTCAAACTTATCCCCTCTTATCTGAAACATTTATTTATTGCCCTAGAAATTAATAAAGTCTGAATTTATCATAATTTTTCAAACTTATCCTAGAAATTAATATTACCCTAGAAATTAATAAAAACAAGGATACTTTTGAAATGGATTTATTTTCTTCATTCAAAAAATTAAATATCAATTCTCTAAACAAATTTATTAAATTTAGAAATAACAAATTCAATTAATAAAAATACAAAAAAACTTAGATTACTATAAAAATATGAATTTTTTTAAAAAATTTTATTCTCAAATGTTAATCGATAAAATATACTAATTAATGATTGAATATTAATTAATTGATAGAAGAGATCAATTAAAAAATTATCATAAAATATCAGCTGAATATTTCATATAAGCATTAAACAAAAGCAATCGTTTCATTTCCATAATAGCATTCATTGAATTTTAAATGAAATAATTTGTTGAAAGAAAATTCTACAAAAAAAGAAAAACAAACAAACTGTCAACTGCTAAAAAATGAAAGTGTAAAATTTTAAAATGATAATAGCTTAGAATAGCACTGATAAATAATAAAATTATTATTGGAAGGAATGATATGCTTCCTTTCCAATATTTTCTTAGCTCATTTAATTAATAACAATCGGCATGCGACATGTTAAACATACATACTTGCATACATACATATTTATATGTGTGTGTATGTGTGTGTGTGTGTGTGCTTAACATATCATCAGCATAATCCTACCATACCTATTATAAACGTTTTGTAAGATCACTTCGCTCCTTCAACAATTCATAACTTTTTATAGTTCTCAAACAAAATCTTATAGCACATGATTGAAAGTCATACAATAAACATTTATGTGTCCTGTATGTATATGTATGTGTGTTTGCATGTGCGTTTATATATAAAAGAGTTATATAT